AGTGGTGATTAGTGAGGGGTGAGTGGTGAGGGTGAGCGTGAGTGGTGAGGGTGAGGTTGAGTGGAGAGCGGTGAGGGTGAGCAGTGAGGGTGAGTGGTGATTGGTGAGGGTGCGATTGGTGAGGATGAGTAGTGAGGGTGAGTGGTTGTTGTGAGGGTGAGTGGTGAGGGTGAGTGATCAGGGTGAGTGGTAAGAGTGAGTGGTGAGGGTGAGTGACGGTTGTGAGAGGTGATTAGTGAGTGGTGAGTGGTGAGGGTTAGTGGTGAGCATGAGTGGTGAGGGAGAGTGTTGAGCGTGAGTGGTGAGGGTGAGTGGTGATTGTTGAGGGTGTGATTGGTGAGGATGAGGGGTGAGTGGTGAGGGTGAGTGGCGGTTGTGGGTGGTGATTAGTGAGGGGTGTGTGGTGAGGGTGAGCGTGAGTGGTGAATGGTGAGGGTGAGCAGTGAGGGTGAGCAGTGAGGGTGAGTGGTGATTGGTGAGGGTGTGATTGGTGAGGATGAGTGGTGAGTGGTCAGGGTGAGTGGTGAGGGTGAGTGGTGAGGGTGAGTGGTGAGAGGTGAGGGTGAGTGTTGAGGGTGAGTGGTGAGTAGTGAGGGTGAGTGGTGAGCGTGACTGGTGAGTGGTGAGGGAGAGTGGTGAGGGAGAGTGGTGAGGGTGAATGGTGAGGGTGAGTGGTGAGTGGTGAGGGTGAGTGGTGATTGTTGAGGGTGTGCTTGGTGAGGATGAGTGGTGAGTAGTGAGGGTGAGTGGTGACGGTGAGTGGTGAGGGTGAGTGTTGAGGGTGAGTGGTGAGGGTGAGTGGCGGTTATGAGTGGTGATTAGTGAGGGGTGAGTGGTGAGGGTGAGCGTGAGTGGTGAGGGTGAGCAGTGCGGGTGAGTGGTGATTGGTGATTGGTGAGGGTGTGATTGGTGAGGATGAGTGGTCAGGGTGAGTGGTGAGGGTGAGTGGTTGTTGTGAGGGTGAGTGGTGAGGATGAGTGGTGAGGGTGAGTGGCGGTTGTGAGTGGTGATGGGTGAGTGGTGAGCGGTGAGGGGTGAGTGGTGAGCGTGAGTGGTGAGGGTGAGTGGTGAGGGTGAGTGCTGAGTGGTGAGGGTGAGTGGTGAGAGAGTGGTTAGTTTTGAGGGTGAGTGGTGAGGTTGAGTGGTGAGGTTGAGTGGTGAGCGTTAGTGGAGAGTGGTGAGTGGTGATTGGTGAGGATGAATGGTGAGTAGTGAGGGTGAAGTTGAGTGGTGAGGGTGAGTGGTGGTTGTGACGGTGAGTGGTGAGGGTGAGTGGTGAGAGTGAGTGGTGAGGGTGAGTGGTGATTGGTGAGTGGTGAGGGTGAGTGGTGAGGGTGAGTGGTGAGGGTGAGTGGTGATGGAGATTGGTGAGGGAGGTTGGTGAGTGTTGAGTTGTGAGGGTGAATGGTGAATAGTGAGTGGGAGTGGTGAGTGGTGAGGATGAGTGGTAAGGGTGAGTTGTGAGTGGTGAATGGTGAGGGTGAATGATGAGTACAGTCAATATGCACTGCTGTTATCATACCAGGTACCACCACCACAATATGTACTCCTCTCATCATAGCAGATACCACCACAGCAGTATGCACTGCTGTAATCATAGCAGGTACCAACACAGCAGTATGCACTGCTGTAATCATAGCAGGTACCAACACAGCAGTATGCACTGCTGTAGTGATAGCAGGTACGACCTCAGTCGGTATACACTGCTGTAGTGATAGTAGATACTGCTATTGAGTTGGTAGATACCGCTATAGTAAATACTAAAACAGTCAATATATACCACTACAGTCAGTCAATACTGCTACAGTCAGTATATACTACTATACAGTCAGTACATACTGCTACGGTGAGTAGCTACTAGAGTCAGTAGATACTATTATAGAGTAAGTAGATACTGCTATAGATTTTGTAGTTACTACTATAGTCAGTGGATACACTATAGAGTCAGCAGATACTATACAGTTAGTCGTTACGAGTATATAGTCGGTAGATACTACTGTAGGCCCAGTAAATACTACTATGGTCAGTAGTTATTACAGTCACTAAATACTACTACACAGTCAGTAGCTACACATGGCTCAGTAGATACTACGGTACAGTCAGTAGATACTACTACAGAGTCAATAGATACCACTTCCTCTGTTGTATGTAAGGTGTTGTTAGTATATATACCTACGAGGGGTAAAGATATTTTTTGAGGGGGGGGGGAGACCACAATTTTCGGAAACATTTTGACATCAACTATTTACCCCACACTTTCTACAACTTTTTGGACTTGTGAAAGCCTCTTATATATTTGTTGGTGGAGAAATGTACAAACAGCCCATCGGGCTTTGACAATACATTAGTATCTGTGTATATATATGTAAGGTTTTTAAGAAATATATTTTTCACCCGGGCAAAGCCGGGTACTTCCGCTAGTTAGGTATAAAACAACAAGCTGTTCAATGCACACATACAAGTTGGTGGCTTTCTTTTGAGACGTTGAATTTTCATTATGCAGGCCACCCACTTTTATTGAGCACATAAAATTTTTTCCGGGGTCAACAAATATTTCTAACTTTTGAATGCGAATAAAAGTGTGTGCATTGATAAGCTTGTTGTTTTATACCTTTTTTTCCTATGCGAAGAAAGTGAAGAACCCGGAGGAAAGCCATGCAAAACAAGGGGAGAACATTCAAACTCCACCCCGATAGGGGCCCGAGTTGGGAATGAAACCCAGGTCCTTCTTTTCTGAGGCACAGGCGTTAACCACTGCGCCACCCAGCCTCAGTGTCGTTCCATGGCACATTGTTGCGTGGTGGTGCAATGTAGTAGTGTCATGCAGTGTTGCATATTACAAGTCTTTTCTATTGTATCTGAATGTATCTCCTAAATATCTGGTTCTGATGCATCCTCTTCCATCTTCCTTCTATCACATCAAAATGCATCCCTTATACTCTCTTTGGTCTTATCTGGATACATCTTTCAAACCGTTGTCTTGCGTTGACTATTCCTTAATATTGATACCTCTGTCTCATCTGCGTCTCTCTTCAATTCACTTCACCTCTGTCTCTTGTGTCTCATCTCTTATTCTACATCTCCATCACTTTTATACATTTCTCATTGCATATATCTCTTGTGTAGTCGGTGGAATGTGTTGTCAGTTTGGTGGCTAGTGGCTGTATGTGCACACAAAACGGCACCAGTGTGCAATGATACGAATACAGACAGACGCATCCGCAGTCACGGACGCGAGAAACACGAACCCTGCCCTGCGAGTGGATGAACCCTGCACGAGCACCGCGTGTGTGGGTGCCCATGCTGGAATGCGGCTGGGAATGCACGAGTGGCAACAGCTGTTGAGGTTGCACAAGAGGGGTGGGAGTGAACGAGGTGGGTGGCGGCTGCGGTGGGGCAGCTGGCTGGAGGTTACTGGGCATGGGTCAGCATATTTAGGGTCTCTACAAACACCGTTGCGGTTGTCAAGGGGAGAGTAAGTCTGCACCTTTGATGGGGTGGGCAATAGCTGGCAAGGGGGTGGTGACGTCTGCCATTGCTGTGTGGCAGAGGAGGGCCACGCTTGGCACATAGCCGGCCCTATGAGGTCTCGTATAAATAGTGCGCTGCCTGAAGATGTGGACTTGCCTAAAGCCAGAACAGCAGCATTGATCCGGAGACAAAGCTTGTCATATGGGCAGTAGTGCCTCAAGGCAAGAAGGGCCTGGGTTCAGCTTCTGCCTCGGGCACTTTTCTGTGTAGAGTTGGTATATTCTCCCTCTGTTCTGCATGGGTTTCCTCCAGGTTCTCCAGTTTCTTTCCAATGACCACACATGCAATGTAACTGTTATTTGCCAAACATTGCAATGCTGGAAAAGTCTGCAAATTACTCAATTTTGATGACACATAGCAACATCATCCCCGACTGAAAACACTTTACAGAACTCTCCTGAAATAGTCTTGAGACTCGGTGAAGGTTTCCTGGGTAAACAAGGGCAATGATAATAATAATTCTAGATTTGAAGCTTTCGTGACTGCAAGGATTCATATTCTTTGGTTTTTTCGGTAAAGTCACAGATAAAAAAATTAAATTAATAAAAGTAAAATAAAATAAAAATCACGACGTTTCGGAGGCAACACAAGCTTCTGTCTTCAGGTGGAACCGTCACAGCACGGTAGCTGTATCAATTAAGAGAAATTCCAAGAAAACAGTCCTTGTATATATACTGGTTGAGGGTGGGAGGAGCCAAGGTGGGCCTTGAATATTTTTGTGAGGTTCGGTGCGGCTGAAACACGCTGTTAGGAATGAGCCTTTGTTGTGTAAACTAGGTGCGGCTGATGTAAAGGTGCGTGTAAATGGGACTGAGCCTTTTGTTATGTAGAGGTGGTGCGGCTGAAAACGCTGCCAGGAATGAGTCTTTGTTGTGTAGAATGGTTGAACTGGGAGGTTCTAAGAGTTGTTAAGGTGCGGCTGATGTAAAGGTGCGGCTGCTGGTAATGGGACTGAGCCTTTGTTATGTAGATGAAACAGCACTTTTGTTACGTTGCTGGGATTAATTCTAGATTTGCCAAATATGTATGGTAAAACTTAAAGTAGGAAAACCAGTGTGTGAAAAAAGAAGAAGAAACTATACGGTAACTGAAGAATGGTGCCTGTCAAATAAGATGGTCCAAATATGTGTAGTTAAATATTTTTTGCATGGTTAATAACATCTTTCCAATGATTACTAAGTTTGTACCCATCATCACGGTTGAAATTATATCTGTGTTTGTATATTTGGATGGCTTCGTGTACAAACCTTTGATGGTAGCTAGGAGGTTTGCAGAGCACCTTGGTCTCGGAAAAGACAATTTCAAGAGAGCCCACAGCGTTGTAGCAATGATCGGCAACGGCGGAAGAATCAGTTTTGCCGTGTTTCAGATCTGACTTGTGCTCGCGGACACGATCAGAGATAATATCTCTTTCCCACCTCGCTCTACCCTCTGCCCCTTCCGTGTTCTTCATTCACCTTGCACTGTAGATGCCACCGAGTGCAGGACTCACTCCTGAGCTCCTCCAGTGGTTTCAGCAACTATAGAGGCATCATCAACTGGTGTGTCATCATGCTGGTATGGGCGTGTGTGTGCATGTGTGATGATTATAGATGTGTGATGTGGGCGACAGCATGGTGGCTTGGCCCTCATGCGATTTCTGCTCAAGTCTCAGAAGGCCCGTTGTTAACGCGGAGGTTCTCGTAGCCTACGATATATTTTTTGTTTGGGCCAAGTAATGATCAAATCTGTGTCGATAAGATACCTCCAGCACCTGACACAGCAAAACAACTTAATTGTCACCTGTGCAGTCATTTAATGACGTGCCAATAAGATTAAAACTAAATATTAACCATCATAAACAAAGCAATTCTTATTACAGTTTATCTGGGCCAAATGATGAACATTATCTGCATTATTCCTGTTAACTGCTCATGCATGTTCTGGTCGTAGCAGGATTGCAATATTATTGTTGTTATTGTTATGCGCGTGTTGTTTTCACGTCTCTCTGAGGTTGTGAGAACTTCTCCGGTTATGTCTCACTTGAGCCGCTTGCGACTCACGAGAACCCCCTGTGCCCACCCTCCCAGGTGCTGGGAAACGCCCGTCTCTTCCTAGAGAACCTCATGAAGTAAGACTTTTCAGCTCAGGAAAACTGTAATAATAATAACAGTACAGGTGTGTCTCACTTAAGGAGTGGTAAGCGAACACTCGATAAACGATCATCATTTCCCATTGACTTCCATATTAAAATTTGAGATACGTTTCAGACGCAACATTTTGCACTCTTGACCAACTCTTTTAACGTGAAACAGCTACATTTGAAATCACTCGCACACACATTTTCTCTCCACTCAATCACACAGCCCTCTCATGCTATCTCACTCTCTCCATCTCATACATACACACATTCCTCCTCCCACCAAATAAAAATAAACCCCCATGTAGTCTTAACAGACTTTTGGGCCAAGTGTTGTTAGCGAGCACCTTTGAAGGCTGGAATGACACAAAGTGGTGGGTGGCCAGTACCACGCCCGGCCTTTGCCCTAGTGGCATGTTACACTCTGCATCAGCTACTTATTTGAGTCAAGGTGATCTTAGGGGAGACCCAGGAACATTTCAGATTATCGTCACTGGTGTTGGACGTGAGCGGGAACAAAACTCTAATAGCCGGATTCGTAGCGCCGCGTGCTATCCGTTGCGCCACCGCTCCCTACACCCACCCCACCCTCCACCAACCCATTACACTGACACCACAAGGCCCCCACCCGTCACCCACTCCTTCCCGAATCATAAGCACAGGAGACTCATAAACAAACAACTGCGGGCAGTGGTGCGCCCCCTGCCATCACGGGACGCATTTGATCGATCGTCTCCGCTCGTTACGTGAACATTTACTAATTTTGTGAACAAATTAGGCTAAATTCAAATAACTCGTTATAGCGACTTCTCGTAAATAGAACCCTCGTTAAGTGAGACACACCTGTAATGGTAATGTTTTTTTTTGACAGAGCGCCCTTTACACCGGGACATCTCAGAACACTTCACATTTGCGTTTACATCTCATCGCAACCGATTTTTTAAAGGGCATCCCCAGTGGCAGCTGTTTCTATGTGGACACAAGGTGACTTGGTACCTGACATGCAAGCGGGCATTGGATTGCTACCAGGAGGGGGCAATGTTGCTATGTTGGCTATCATTTGTGGTCAGGTCACTTGTGAAAAAGAGCTGTAAAGCTCGTTAAAATAAAAAAATAATTTAGTTTTTAGCTTAATTGAGTAATTTGCGGGTAATTGTTCAATTTTGGACCGTGATGCCAGCACACAATGGCCTGTTCACTTCGAATGTCATCACAGGATCTTTAGCATTACAATACTACACCTGCCCTGGTTACTACACCTGCAGTAATAACCAGGGCAGCCTGCCGGTTTCACTCTTGTCATGGCTTGTCATTTAAAGCTTTCGTGACTGCAGGGATTCATCTTCTTGGTTCTTTCGGTAAAGTCACGTAGAAGGAAAATAATAAAATAATAAAAATTAAACATAATAAAATAATTTTCACGACGTTTCCGCCACAACGCAAGCAGCCGTCTTCAGGTGGAGAACATGTCTGTCGAGAAGGCAGAGTCTTGCGTTGTGGCCGAAACGTCGTGAGAATTATTTTATTATGTTTTATTTTTATTATTTTCCTTCTACGTGACTTTACCGAAAGAACCAAGAAGATGGCTTGTCATGTTACGACACTATTTAAATTGTCGTCATTATTATTAGTAGTAGTTTTTTTATGGTTAACACACCCGCAGTAATAGCCAGGACGACTTGCTGGATTTGAATCCTGAATCTCTGTAACAAGTGGCGAGCATGCTATGGCTGGGCTGTCACTGCCCCGATCAGTATGAATAGTTTTGCCCTCTCAACTGCACCTACGTGTTGGTATTGAATTCCCGTGTCTGCCCCCATGTTACTTGTGGTGGAGCCTTACAGGAGCGCTGCTGCCTGCTGTGAAGTAGACACTGCCCATTGTGCGAGGTTATTTACAAGAGGGGGATTCTCTGGGCTTGGGTCAAGGCCCACATGCTAGTAGTGCAAGTTACCTACAACTGTTTTATTATTATAAACATTTGATTAACGCTTGTATGCCCAGGAAAGCCTCTGAGTCTCAAGACTCGTTTTCATCAGCAGAACATATGTAACATTGGACTTCCCAGCTTACTAACGGTTCTTATCTGGCTTAAGAGAGGACAATAATTAATGATGTTTAGGCAGCGGTATGGAATATGGAGCATGATGAGCATTTAAATTTGGAAATTGCACACATCACTAAGAGACAGCATCATTGTTCTTGTGCATGTGTGTATATGTGATATTTGGAGTTTTCACGGGAAATTATAGTTGTTGAGTTGACTGCCAGCCCCGTAATTTGTGTATAGGACAGTGGCATTGTGGGTAGGCCGTATCCTGTGCTGATGTCCCAAGCGCTCAGGTTTAATACTTGGGGCCTGAGTACAGAACGACTTGCGCATTTCTCAAAATAGTGTGAGTTGGGTTAAAGGTAGAGCTTGTCGTGATTCTGTTTGAATGAGAAAGTTAAGGAAATCAAACAACGTAAGTTAGGATATATCTTAGGGGTGGTCAGAACTCCTAAAAAAAAGTTAACTAAAAATTAATAACATAATTATTGGCAAAATACATATTCATAACATTAACAACTAACATAATCAACATGCATAACATACATTTACTTATCTCAGCCACAGACTGAATTACAGAGCAATGATTTCTTGGTGGCCTTGTTGCATGGGTGTTGCCTGCTTGGATGCTGATTGGCTGATGCAGTGAGAGCAATGACCTCACCCCTGGCAACCACAGCCATTTACAGCATTGCTATCTCATGAGCACACCGCTAAATTTCCTTCGAATTTTGATCCGGTCTCTCTTATGACATTTCAGATCTTACTACAATTGCAGCCTGCCAGACTTATGACAAATTTTTCAAGAACTTTCTGTACTCTGGCCCTTGGCCAGCCTATCGGTGGCAGTTGGCATCTGAACCCAAGCATTATTGACGAGGCCACTGCCTGGTATCATGCCTGCGTTAAAAGGTGTACTTTCCCAGCATAAATGCACGTGTTTGTGCGTGTGTGTGTGCACAGATATGGAATACTCGTTGACCCAATTCAGATCGTTTCGCTGTTTCTGAGTGATCCGTACAGCTGGCCTGCCACTTGCCTGGTCATCGGTAAGCGCTACCACCCACTCGGTGCCACACTGTCCGGTCGTCATCAGTGCGTGCTCTTATATTTAGAGTCATTTTATTTCCTGTGACGTGGCCTAGCGGGAGCGCATTCACCGCTTATTGGATACGAGTGGGAAGTACCCGGCGTTGGCCGGGTGAAAAAGACACACACACACATCAACTTACACACACACACACATATGGACTCACACACACGGACATCGACTTACACACAAACACATGGACTTGCACACACACATTGACTTACACACATACATCGACTCGCACACATACATAGACTCACACACACGTCGACCTACACACACACACACACATGGACTTACACACACAGACATCGACTTACACACACACACATGGACTTACACACATGCATTGATGCACACACACATAGACTTACATACACATCGACCCACACACACACATCGACACACACACATTGACACACACATCAACACACACACACACATCGACTCTGTCTCCGTGAGAATTATTTTATTATGTTTTATTTTTATTATTTTATTATTTCCATTCTACGTGACTTTACCGAAAGAACCAAGAAGAAGGATCTACCTACTCTACAGTAGTATCTACCTACTCTACAGTAGTATCTACCCACTCCATAGTTGTATATACTGACTCTATAATAGTGTAGTGAGTTCAACCGAGTCTCATACGTACTTTTGGAGGCAACACATGTATTAACACCAACACACGGGGTAACTGCCCCTTAACAGAATAACAACCTATGGTGGTGACCACCAGGCTAACTACACTAATTACACCGTAACTAGCGACAACGGACCGGACCACAGCTTGGGTCCAGGTCCACGTGTTGGAGACTCGGTAGAACGTAGACGAAAGTTTCTTCAGGATGAACAATGCCGGTCCCTCCGGGGGACCTGGCTTATAGTCTCTGTGGCGTGGCTGGCTCCGCCCTTGGCCACGCCCACCTTCCAGAATCCTCGAGCAGGATCTCGACCTCGACCACGTGACCACCCCGAGCCCCCACTTGGGGCCCCTTTGTAGACTTAACCGGTCACGTGTCCTCTGGGGTCAACCAGAGTGCCACGGCCCTTAGTAACCCCATTTCCATGGCCGGTACTCCCACACCCTATCCTGTAGGGGCCGGCACTGCACGAAAGCGTGGTGCCATCCAGCGCAATCGATCAGCGCTCACCGAGCCCCTCTTGGGCCGGTTTTGCACCCACATCCTAGTGATGTCCGCGATGTCAATACACCGCACGCCGTGCCTCTCTAGAGCCAGCATTACACAGTGACATCCCGCAATATCACTACATTAGTATATATTGACGCCTAGTCCCGTATAGAGCCCCCGGCCTCGCCTAGATTGCCCAGCTGGCTGAGGTAGCACCTTGGCAGGCTGGGGCTGGGCCACTCCTACCCCCCCCCCCTCCACTATCCCCCCCACCTGCTGTACAGTAATAGTACATAAGCTTTTCGATTTAAAGCTTTCGTGACTGCAGGGATTCATCTTCTTGGTTCTTATGGTAAAGTCACGTAGAAGGGAAATAATAAAATAATACAAATAAAACATTATAAAATACAATTCTCACGACGTTTCGGCCACGACGCAAGCAGCCGTCCTCAGGTGAAGAACTGGTCTGTTGGAAAGAGAGCGTCTGAATGAACACCACCAAGCTTGGCAGCGTATATTTAAGCTGGGTTAGGGGAGGAAGGGCGCCTTGACAAAGGAATTTGCATATCAACAGAGGCATTTAGCATATTTATGGAAAATGCAGATATGGGATTAGTCACTACTTGTGGAATGCGTAGGAGGGGGGGGGGGGGGTCTCAAAGTCATATGCCCGTGCATTATGTAGGATTAGCAGCAACAAAGGGAGGAGGTAGGGTTAGCAGTAATAAAGGGAAGGAATTTTAATAGTAAGGAGCTGCAGCAGCCAAACCACCACGTAAAAAAAACTAAAATATAAACTACATCAGTATCATCAATATACTAAATATACTCTCCAATAAGCTGAGCTACTAACAGTAAGTCATACATTACAATTGTATGTCGCAAAAAATATAATATGCCTCCAGCCAAACTTTTTTCTCTTACATCACACGGGTCTACCCCGTACTATATACTGCCATAGACAAACCCAACATTAAATTATATACTGCATAACTATACACCACCCTATACCTTAGACTATACATTGTAATATTACACTATGTATTATTCTACCCACCCTACTGTATACCACACTGCTGTATATTCACTATACAATTACGATACTATATATTACCTTATACATTTTATTAAACATTACACTTTTATACTATTTATGATTATACAATCTACTATATACTATACCATTGACCGTCGCGTGCAAGGTACTAAGAGGAAGCAACGAAATATGTCAATGGGAGAGTGGTGAAAGGAGACTTGCAGCGGAGCAAAGACTCCATTCCTTGCGGAGAATACAAAGGATATATAGTCAATGCCAGTGAGTGGACTGTGGTCTGAAAGTCACCGTAAACGTGATCTTAGCTGATTGTGTTAACGTTTACGGTGACTTTCAGACCACAGTCCAATCACTGGAATTGACAATATATTGGGTAAACAAGTGCAATCGTAATACACATTTGTTTTTTTCCGTGCTTATCGTGCAAGAATGTCATTCAAGTGATATGTTTCACAGACAAAGTCTGCAATAGTTTCACGATCAGAGAGCAATGTTGCGTGTAATCCGAACTGCATAAATCATTGTAATTTTTTTTATTTGGACTGGCATCGACACACAATGGCCATCTCTTTTCAAATCACATCAGAGGATCGTTAGCATACACTTTGAAGCAGACGACACCTGTTATGCGATTATATGCCTGCGGTAGTATCCAGGGCGGCCTGCCAGATTCAAATGTGAACCTCTGTAACATGCAGCAAACGCGCACTCTTTAGGCCATGTCACAGCCCCAAATTCCCATGCTTGACTTCACCACATGTCTGCTCATCAGAGAGCTTGCTAAATCGGGTCTGTTTTGTGTCTTTGCAGTGTCTAATCTGTTCATTATGGCCGGTTTCTTCATCGAGAAGCTTCTTGCATCGGTACGTGCAGCTTTAGTTGGGAAATCACTGGCAGGTTTGTGTTTTGAGTGCTATTTAGTATTGTACTTGGTTACCCAGGAAAGCCTCCGTGAGTCTCAAGACTCTTTTTAAGGAGGGCCCTACCATGTTTTCGCAGTAGGGGACGATGGTGCTTATGTGTGCAGTCCCAACTGAGTAATTTGCAAGGAATTTTTAGCCAATGGCCAATAGCAGTTATATAATATGATTGTTTAAGCTATTTTGTTTGGAAACTGGAGACCCTGGAGGAAACCCATGCAGAACAGGGGGAGAAACATACAGACTCCACACAAAAAGGCACGCGAGTCGGGAATCGAACTTTGAGGACCTCTTGCTGTGAGGCACGAGCGTTACTACTCCGTTATCACCCTGCCACTTTAGTGTGCTTCGCGTGAACACTTTTTTCTCACTCTCCGCGTTGGCGCGTGTGCAACGTGAGAAAACTATCTATATTACGTTCATTAATAACTTTGGTAGCAGACCCACATGTGAGTTTTGTTTAGCGGTGTTAAGGCCCGTGTTACACAAGAAACACGGATGCAGTGACACTCCTCTCATCTGCTATAACGCCACAGGCACTTGTCATGTAAAATCCAAGCTACAGATTAGAAGAACCTTACACCCTGTTATCCACGATTACAGCTCCTCTCATCCACCACTGTTACTCGTGATGAGTGCGGTTAATAAGTTAGCATTGCACGGGGTCCTAGATCGTGAATGTTATCCACAAGCTGAGGTCCGGTGTAGCCATGCTGTGTACTGTACTACAGTATAGCGATGTAGCATACAGTGCTGCCGTGTAGTGTACTGCATTTCAGTGTAGTGGTGTCGTGCATGGTACTGCAGTGTGGTGGTGTAGCCTATTGCAGTGTAGTATAAAGTAGTGTCATAAATACATCCTTGGTATCATCTTCATTTGCACCATCACCATCCATTGAACAACATTATATTGAGGTTTGACTGTATTACGTAGCCTCGGGGCCGTATACTTTGTCACAACTCTGCTCCGGCTTGGCTCTGAGAGTCAGCTCATAGCCACGCTTCACTTGGGCCAGCTCTGACCATCGTCTTAGCCACATTCAGTTCAGGATTTGATTGAGTTGAGCCTCAGCCAAGCCATGGCTGAACCATTTGTGCATCTTTGAAAGCAACCAAGCGGCTGATGCCTGAGCTGACCTGCGTTCGAGTCAGAGCCAAGACTTGAATACCGCGCTCAATTTTCACGCTGCTTTGTGCAGGTGGAAGAAGCTACCGTGTGTGTCTCTGCCTGCAGGGAATTCTGGGAGAGCGGCCGGGCCAATGGCTGCACTGGCTGAACCTGCTAACAGAGCTAACGCTGCCTGTGGTCGTCACGCTCCTCGTCTCGTCTATGAATCCCAGTACGTGCTCGCATCCAAACACACAAATAAACAGACCCCCTGTGTAGCCCACACAGGCTTGGGGCAGGTGCTGTTTGTGAGCACCTATGAATGCCGGTATAGCGAGCGAGGAGGAGGGTAGCCAACATTACAATGCTTATGTTCACACACCATGTCGGGTACTAATTTAAGGCCCAGTTGACCTAGGGGAGGCCCAGGACCGGTTCCAGTTTAGGTATTTGTCACCAATGTTGCTTGTGGAGGAATTTAACTGACGTCCTGGGATTCGTAGCACAGTGAGCTAACCATAAACATACTGCTCCCCACAAATGCATACGGGGACACGCACACGCATCGGGATATCCACACACATACACAAGGGGACACATGGAGACGCGCACACACGCAGTGATGCGTGCGCACACACGAGGACACATACACACAGGGACATGCACACAAACCTTCATCACCAAATTTTACCTCACCCAAGAAATACATTTTATACAAATCAGAGAAGATGGTTTATTATTTTCAACTGACCAGAATGTGGGACGTCATTATTGCTGTTATTCTGAACGTTGCGTGGCTAAATTTTTGACTGACTTACAGATCAGCACACCGGCTCCAAGAGTGGCCCCACGGGAATTCCTTTGCTTTTTTCTTTCTTCGTCTTTAAGAACTGGAGATGGCAAATAGTTGTTTTTTAAAGTTGAATTATTTTCACTTGAATATAAATTGGTGAACCAATGCATCTTTCCATCCCTAGCAACATGCGTCAGAGCACATAGCCCAAGCCCCCTCGGCTCAGTCGTGTTGCACACTCACTTTCCACACCACCCAACCTCGCCCCTGCGCACACATCCGCTTAGCAGTTTGTAAAATAAACTCTCGAGCTCACTCTTGTGGCTCTGACAGCACTTGCTGCATAGTTATTGCATATAAAGTATGTTCAAGGTCAGTTCGAGAGGTTTCTTCATTGTTAAAATAAATCAATGGAGCTAGGCAGGACCCATCTCCATTGGGGACCCTGACACTGTGGTGGAAACTCCGTATTGCCATGATGGGGGCCAGTGTATTCATAGTAAACAGATGTGGGAACTATTGAGATGACATGAAGATGCTGAATTTTGCAAATCAAACTGCTGAGGTTGTGAAGTGGATCCAGTGAAGTAGAGCACCGATGGGTTCTGCTATTTCAGGGAATCATGTGTAAACACGTTAATATCTCAAAACTACCGTAAAGCCACCTGGACTTTGTCCAGAGCATTTACGCAAGAGCACTCTTCATTGATCTTTAGTCAATGTTTTGCTTGTCATTTATCCATTTACTCAACATATAAATAAAAAAACTTTACAACTGGCAATCTAAGAGCAGAAAATCATACTTTCATCGTTAAAGACATGCTCTGGGGTCACGAGGATTGACGACATCGTTAGCACATGTTTGGGTCTGTTCACTACGTTTATTATCATATTGCGGTATATATTTTTTTGCGTAAACATCGCAGCATGACGATAATTAATGCAGTGTCTTACGTGGTCACGTGGAACCATTTAAAAAACAAGTGACTTTTGTTCTGATGTAATGCTTCGAATTTGCAAAAATAATTGTCAACCTCTGTATTCATCGTTAACCATGATCAGCCGCTGCTTTGATGAGGGCAGGGCCAAGTTGTCTTCGTTCCCCATAATCTAGCAAAGCAACATTCTACATAACGCCTGCAATGGGCTCATCTCATTGCGTCACCATCTGAGCACGGTAGCTACCCCGTCGTTCTTGCCAGATTTGGCAATAGACGCTGACTCTACTTGAACAAATAGCTATAGTGAAATGTTTTTTTCCTGATTAATCTTGTTTTTATCTGTATGCATGTATGTATGTTGAACTTCATTCGCATCGTACGTAGCCAAATGTGCTAATTGGAAAGCTGCCGCTTTCATAAGTGTTTTCAGTGTTCATTTCTGTAATGTCCCGGATATGAACAGTAACATCACATGGCATTCATCATCACTTTGAAACAACCAAATCCCACCTCTTGCTCTGAACAGAAACTCAGATCTCACCGTCAGCTGACCTCGCACACATTCAATATTCCCAGCTCACAGCCTCTTTCACGCTCTCCGGTTGAAAAGTGGAGTTTGTGTTTTCACCAGAGATAGAATCTGTGTTTCAGACTGCGATGATCTTGAGATCTCTGTAGCACTGGTATTCGCTTACCAGACTCCGTCTTGGACTGGCCCACTACCTTAGATCTGTTCCTGACTTCTGGCCTGACTCCACACACCGTTGATGTTACTTCACCAGTTGGCACGTCTGACCTCCGTTAATTACCGTAAAATACTTCTGCCCCCTTGTATATGAAAGTGACCGAGATGTTGTGGCATTTCAAAAGTGCTTATTGGAATGAAGGTCTGCAATGTAATACTCCACGCTCTATCTCCTTGACAGACGTCCACCACAATGTTAGAACGTCATTTTTTTGTCAACACATCTTCACAGTCTATCTAAACATAGAGGGGGCGATTCGCTCCAGGCCGAGTGTTGAGTATGATTTGATGGCAGCCGAGTGTGTATTTTGGCAGTAATTTAAGGCTGCGTGTTGACACGTGATGTTCAGAAGTAATGGTTCTGTCAAAAGTGGGAGCTCTGCAATGTCGGTTCTTCACATCACAGTTGGTATGCAATTGATCACATCTGGTGGATTGGTCAAACCCCCTGTTGCTCGCAGTCTGCTCCGCCATCATGCTGTTCGTCTACACGGTGCTCTTCCTAAAGCTCTACTCGTACGCCGACGTCAACCGCTGGTGCCGCGAGCAGCGTGGCAAACCTGGCGCAGGGCGCCGCATCGCGCGTTCCCTCTCCAGTACGCACGCTCTCCGCCACGCCGACACCCTCGCCCTCACTCCTACTGGCACGACGCTTGTTTACCCAAAACGTCGCTGAGTCTCAAGATTATTTTACAGGAGGGTCCTGTTTTTTGCAACTTTAACGTGTAATCCCATGTGAGTCATTTGCATGCAGTTTCTCAGCATTTGGCCAATACCAGTTACACTTCATGTTTCTTCACCTATGGGAGGAAACCCGAGAACCTGGAGGAAACCCACGCAGAACAAGGGGATGTTATTTATGTGTACAGTATAGGATTAATGTTAACCATTTACATTTTTCCTCTAAATTGGGTCGTACATGGGGACATATGCCCAGTATCTACATTTGCAATTTATATTTTGTCGGAGATTTTCAAGAGCCTAACCCTCGCGTATGTCCAGGTCTTACCGTACGGTGAAATCACCTGCTAGTTACTCCATTTGGGATCTCACATAGAAACGTCGACTACCAAAACTAGACAGGATCTTGCTGAAATAGTGTATTGAGACTAAGTGTGGGTGACATTTGGAAAATTAAACGTAATCACGGTAATCACAATAACACCCGGTGTCCCGTTGTACCATGGTGTTTGTGCCCCCGCAGCATCTTCAGTTGGCAAGGTGAACGGAGAAGCCAAACAGGTGGCAGTCGTGCATTACCCTGACAACCTGAACTATAGAGGTGAGGCTTCACACACAGCTGGCATCACAGCACTACCCATGAATACACATCCACAGCGTAGCTAACACATAGCATAGCTAATACTACATCGCTAATACAAACCATATAGCCAACACACAGCGTAGCTAACACCGTATAGCTAATACTACATCGCTAATACAAACCATATAGCCAATACACAACGTAGCTAACACATAGCGTAGCTAATACTACATCGCTAACACGTAGCGTAGCTAACACACAGCGTAGCTAACACATAGCATAGCTAATACACACTGTATAGCTCAGAATCTGAATCTTAAATTCATACTGGAGTAATCCGATGAGCTATGAAGCTCTTTTTCACAAATGTCCAGTCGCTCAACTCTACGGTCAGTCCTCGACTTACAAATGGGTCTCGTTCCCAAGACCCGTTCGTAAATCGACTGGTTCGTATCTCAGAATTCACTAATGTACCGTATTTACTTGTATTTAATTGTACATACGGTTAGTGTTATAAAATGTGTCGCAGTTCAACAAAAAAGGGAAGCATTGTTAAACTCGTAAGAATAAATATTGTACATTGGCATGTAATACTTTCAAAAATACTGTATTTCCATATATATAAAAGGCTATTAAAATACTTATTTTCGTTTTGGGGGGGAGGGGGAGCTCATTAATGCATATATCTTTTGCACGGCAAGTGAGCTGTGACGTCAAATCTGTCACGTGACCCGCGCATGTGGAAGCGTAACGCGTTGTAGTGGAGTGGTTAGCGCGCTGCGCTACGAACCCGGCGACCCGAGTTCGATTCCTGCTTACGGCCACCACCGGTGACGATTATTTTAACCGGTCCTGGGCCTCCCCTAGGTCCACTCGGCCCCAAACGAGTAACTGGTGTGGTGTGCGAACATCGCCACTGGGGAGACAAAGGCGGCCGGGCATTGTGAATCCAAGTCCCGGGCGAAGCCGGGTAGTAAAGCTAGTAGTAAATAAAACTAAATAAAGTAACATGAAAAGAAAAATGAATCTGTTTTATTATCTCTTATCTTGAGTCCTGATGCTGGCTTGCTTGTCGGAAGAGGTGTAATGAGTCCCCACGATTGTGCCCACACACAACAACAACCGTCATTCACCACTAAGTGGCGGTGACGTCACCACGGCGCTTGTGCCAGGCTATGTGCACATTGAAGCCACGTGAAGTGTCGAACGCCCGCTGGCAGGAGGTCACAGGGCAGACCCGGGTGCCGCGGGTCGACGAACTGAGATGACTGGCCGATGCACCACTTTTGCCCCCTACTGTACCACACACAGTGGCACATGCTCACTTTCGCGCACACAAAGACAAAGAGCCTCCGAATAGCCTTTAACAGACTGTAGGAGCAAGTGCTGTTGGCGAGCATGTATTCAGGTTGGCATGGCACACGAGGGGGTGGGTGGCCAGCACCACACCGAGCCGCCTTTGTCTCCCTAGTTATCACTGCTATCGACCATGCAGGAGAATTGAATCTGGGTTGCTGGGTTCGGAGCGCAGCGTACTAACCACTACACAATCACAAATGCACACACATGGGGGCACGCGCACTAGCACACATACACACATGTGCGCACATACACTCACACGTGTGTGCACACTCACTCCCAGCGGGATTCTGGGACTTATTACATCTCGCGGAGGATCGCTCCACCGAACAAAATAGTTCTGTGGTTCGATTGACAAGTTGGATGGTTAAAAAATGATATCTTATGGAGGTTCATTTTAAGTTTGGATGTTTGTAAGTTAGAGACTGTGTATAGCTAACACCATATAGCGATCACACATACAGCTAATACACACTCTATAGCTAACTCACCATCTATGTAATACACTGTATAGAATATACACCGTTTAACTAATACACACTACAGCTAATACATCCTATGGCTAATATATCCTATAGCTAATACACAGTGACAGCTAATACACAGTGTGACTAATACACACCGTGTGCTTACCGTGTGTCGCGCACCCTATGTTCTCTTGTTGCTTGCAGACCTCTACTACTTTGTATTTGCACCGACGCTCTGCTACGAGCTCAACTTCCCTCGCACGTCGCGTATTCGCAAGCGCTTTCTGCTGCGCAGGATATTTGAGATGGTGAGGGCAGAGCAGCACTGCGCGCGCTCACTCATTGCAGCAGCAGCAATTTTGTCATGCATCATTATTATGATTATACTTGTTTACCCAGGAGAGGCGAATGTTTCTTCCTTGTTCATCAGTCTCTCTGAGGTCTCTGATCCACGTGTTTCTCGTTTTGTCTCTTGGTCTACTTCCCAGCCTGCATCTGTCCGTGCTTCTTTGCACTTTTCAGCTCTTGTTCCGGTGCCTTTGTCGGTGTCCGTGTTTCTGATCCATACGTCATAGCTAGGCTCTGATTGAAAATGTTCTTCTGGGGCATTGATGTTTTGTTCACTATCAAATGCTGAAGACCACTGCTGTTGTTAATAAGAATAATAAAGATGGGCGTTAAATGCAGAAAATAAAAATTTACTCGCATATGCTGTTTGCACAAATGTATACTCTTTACACATTGGGTGCTAATTATGTGTATGTTCTGATCCACAGCTGTTTCTCATGCAGCTCATGCTGGGATTCATCCAACAGGTATAATCTGTGGTTAACCTGGGTGGTAGTGATGACACTCATGCCTCACTGCAATATGGATACGATACGGAAACACACAGACCTGAATATATTCACACAGACGTGGAGACATGCAGAGACACACAGACACACAGACACACAGACACACAGACACACAGAGACACAGAGACACAAAGACATGGAGACACAAATACACAGAGACCCGCAGATACCTACAAGCACAGATATGGTTATGCTCACACACAGACACCGATACACAAATGCAGAGGCACAGACACAGGGAGATATATACACGAATACAGTCACAAACACGGAAGTGCACGGAGACATATAGAGATACACGGAGGCACAAACACGAAGACACTCAAGCAGTTGAGAAAATTCTTGTCACTGATTTTGGCAGAGCTATTGATTTTCTTGTTTTCAATATGACATCAGCATGAGCAAGGCATCGTAATTCACTCTTGGCTACAACTCATACCCATCCACCGACCTGCCTGCCCACCCACTGAGTTTGTGGTTCGGCGTGGCCTCGATGGAGAAGCACTGCCCTAGATCGACTTATTACCTTGTGTTTATTTTTGTAAACAGCTGAACATTTACAAAAATAACAGATTGTATCTTAAGAAAGCAATAAACTAACCCAAGTGTAAGGGATGTCAGGGGAGGGATTCTCACCAAAAGGAGGTGAGTGGGACGGTGACAGTGGAAGGGGAAGGAACAGGCGAGGATATATGAGAGAGAAGGGGCGGGAAAAGGGGAGAATTGGCAGGAACCGGATCGAGAAGGCTGGGGACGAGTGTAGACTGGGGGGAGCAATAAAAGACGAACCCCCTGCAACCTTGTGTCGGCTCTTCGTTACACAAGCAATGCATTACATCTAACGATCCAGGCTGAGCAGTGGCAAGCCCGGCCCGACGCCGGGTCTGGTCTCTGATAAGAATGGATGTGCATAATCAGCCTCCTTCCCTTGCCATACCCTCCATGTAAAGTCCCTCACCGCCACTGCCCTTGCCCCCCACACAGCACCCTCGTCCTGTATAAACACGAGAACGTGCTTGCAATAGCGGCAGACACATATGCCCACACGTACAAAGCCATCACAATATAGGTGACCTCATGCAAAGTACAGAAATATCACTGTGATGTTAACGTTTTTTCCCGTGTGCCCTAAAGTCGTCATTTAACCTCTGACCTATTCTCTCCCTCCTCGTGTCTTCTGTCACCCTGCCCTCGTCATGCTTGTCCTGTGACCTTTGACCCAGTGGATCGTTCCAAGTATTCGCAACTCGATGAAGCCACTCATCGTAAGTTTTTCCTTGCAGGGCTACACACAGCGCTCTGTACATTAGTCTGGGCTGCATCTTAATACTGTGGGTGAATTAATTGTAAACATTCTACGACGTGCCGTCTGCTTCACAGTGGACATTCAAGGTCCCCTGACGTCCTTCTAAATGAGGAAGCAGTTGTGTACGAGCGGCATGGGCCATTTTCATCAATTTGGAAATTTACCCAATTGGGATGGCACATAGCAATCATTACCCCCTACTCGCAGCAGGCTTGTAGCCCAGGTGCTGAGTCCTCAGGGATAGCTGCCACTGGCAGTGCCCTTGCAAATGCTTTGAGATGAGATGCAGTGCTGGTTGTTCAGCACATCTGAAAAGCCCCGAAATGCCAAGCAGAGAGGAAGGCTGCATTACAAACGGCTCCCGATGGTTCTCTTCACTGCAGCACCTTCGGAGCCTCGCCCAATCAGCACTATGATGATGACGACGACTATAATTGTTCTCTGCAGGAGATGGACGTGTCACGTGTAGTGGAACGGCTGCTTAAACTTGCCGTAAGTTCTTCATCACTTCCTTCTGGAGTGTTTTTTTATGACCACTGAACGCACTACATATTCAACGCGCATGTTTTGGCCACCAATTTGATTAATTAGGCCCTGTAATGTTCTTCAGCTCACCGGTGAGATAAAACAATAGCGACTGGCATGGTAATTGCACGTAATTTATTTGGCTGTGTCAGTTCGTGGAGGGCTCCAAATAACACAGATTTGGTGAGACCATGTGGCCTCAACCAAAAATTCTATTTTGAATGCATAAATATGACCTGTTTATCATTGTCTGGGCTTGGATTATTTTGTTGACAAGTTAGATCAATTTTACTGAATAATACCATAGAGTAGTGTCTTAGGAAATTAGATTTTTATCGTTTGCAACTTAATTTAATAATCATATTAGTACATTTGCATTATTCACATGAGTACATTTGCAAATAAATAGCAAAACTCTACTGCAGTCACAATCAGTAAATGATATAGTGCATTTTCTATTTTTAAAAGTTCTCTGTAGTCATCAGTCACCCTTGCAGAGTAGAATTTCAAATTTGTGCACACTGAGCCAGATAAAGAAGGCCGTTAATCGTGGTTAATCAGATGACTTGCATCTGCCAGGTTTTGTGCCGTTTTATACCACCTCGTTAACTGCTGACTCCCACCAGGTCCCAAACCACCTCATCTGGCTCATCTTCTTCTACTGGTTCTTCCACTCCTGCTTGAACTTGCTGGCGGAGATCATGAAGTTTGGCGACCGAGAGTTTTACCGCGATTGGTGGTGATGAACGACTTTTTTCTGAAATGTCCTCTAAAAAAAACTTTCCTCTCCAACCGTTTGTGAGGAGGGTGGCATTCACAAGATGGGGGTCTTTTGTGTCTGTGCATTTGGTCTACGATGGTTAAACCGGATTTGTTGCAAGTAACCAAATGAAAACAAATTGTGACAACCCGGTTAATATCGGTTTTCCACACATATCAATGTCTATAGATATACAATTAACAGGTTTATCTCCAACTGAAAAACGAGGGCAAATGTACTAATTGTGACTTGGGCCTATGCTGGGCGGTTTGGATGTGAGCGCCTGCCATTGGTGCATTCGTCACTGACATCCCATTGGAAATGGTGATCGCTTTTTTTTATTTTACTATAGGTAATAGTGCAAGATTTTATGGTTAACACACCCACAGTAATAACGAGGGTGGCCTGCTGGGTTGAAATCTCGTACCTCTGCAACAAACGGCGAACGCGCTTCCACAATGATAATTATACTTATATAGCGCTTTTCATGAAGGATCTCAAAGCACTGTACAGGACACAAGAGCAGCAGTCAGCATGAAAATAATATACATTTAAAAACGAATTTACTAAAATAACTAAAAATGTAATAAGTGGAAGCTTGAGCCTAAAAATTGCTGTGACATTGAGTCGGGCAGCCTCACTGGAGTGTGCGTGCGTGCGAGTTCTGCAGGAATGCGCAGACTGTCACCTACTTCTGGGCCAACTGGAACATCCCGGTGCACAAGTGGTGTGTCCGGTGCGTTGGTTCCCAGAATCACCTGTCAGGGAATTGAGCATTGCTTTAATTATATCCGCAGGGGAACCCCCCAATATTATTATTACTTGATTGTTTGTTTAGGCCACGTAAATATCTACTAAAATCTTTGTATCGTTAAGACCCTCCACCACCCAACAAAGACAAATACATTGCACGTGGTGTACAATTGTTATTGATTCGGCTCGCTCATTGTTGAGCTGAAGAACACATCTGGTTGTGAGGATTGCTCAACTTACTGGTGAGCGGAAACAATGATTTGCATGCGTTAAACGCTTGCACAACACGTGATGATTTGTTTAGCTATGTGGAGCGGTCGGAGGGTTCTTAACGACACAGATGTGGTCAGATGATTGTGGCCTCACCTGTGAAATCCGTTATGACGCAGTTGAATAACGTTTGAACACACGCGTGGTCGTGCTCATGTGTCCACATTGAATGTCACGCAGACACTTCTACAAGCCACTGCTCAAGAGGGGCTTTAACAAGATGCACGCGCAGCTGGGCGTCTTCCTCCTCTCCGCTTTCTTCCACGAGGTTTGTCTGCTCTCCAGTAACGCCACTGGACAAGTTCAGTGACATACGTTTGACACAGCTTTCTGTATAAATGTATGCCTACCATCAGGGGTGAATTATAAACATTTATTTAAAACATTTTAACCAGCAAAGCCTCTTGAGTTTCAAGCCTTTTCAGCGTGGTCCTACCAAATATGTCCAGTAGGGGGCGATGTTGCTGCAGTGTGTGATCTTAATTGAGTAATTTTCAAGTAATTTCTCAGCATCGAGATATTGGTGCAGTACCAGTTAGATTTTTCACCATTGGAGGACACCAGAGAACCAGCCGGAAACTCATTCAGAACAGGGGAAGAGCATACAAACTCCACGCAGAAACACGCCACAGACGAAATCGAACCCAGGAACTTCCTGCTGCGAGGCACAAATGTTCCCTAAACGTCCTTTTTACATTTTGATTTAAAGCTTTCGTGACTGCAGGGATTCATATGCTTGGTTCTTTCGGTAAAGTCACGTAGAAGGGAAATAATAAAATTATATAAATATAACTTTTTCTTGCTGTGGTTTTAACACCTGATGATGATTGCTTGTGTTGCAGTCAACGTCGTGAGAATTTTTATTGTTTTATATTAATATTATTTTATTATTTCCCTTCTACGTGACTTTACCGAAAGAACCAAGAATATGAGTCCCTTTTACACTTCACTAGTTAGCTGTGGACTCGGATGGGAGTGCAGTGTGTGTTCTCTCCGATTCCAGTACCTGGTGAGCGTGCCGCTGAGAATGTTCCGGATCTGGGCGTTCATGGGCATGATGGCACAGGTGGGGTCATCGCAAGGTCATGCACATGACAAGGATTGTGAAAAAGATGAGAATTGTGTGTGTGTGGTGGATTGCTGACGTGTTTGATTGGTGTTGTGTGTGGTTGATTGGTGGTTTGTGTGGGGTGTACGGTGGATTGGTGGTGTGAGGTTGATTGTCACCATGCGGTTGCAGGTCCCCTTGGCATGGTTTGTCGGCAGCTTTCTGAGCGGTAACTACGGAAACTCTGCCGTGTGGCTGAGCCTGATCCTCGGGCAGCCGGTGGCGGTGTTTATGTACGTGCACGACTACTACGTGCTCAACTTCAGGGACGCCGCGCAGTGAGGCGCCCCTTCTTCGCCATCCACAGCGCCTCCCGGCTCTGCACGGCCTCAACATTTTTCCATCTCGGATGCCAGCCGTGTGGTCAATCAGGCGACATGTACCACCGAGCAGGGGCTTCGTGCTTCTCCAGGCCGTGAGGAAAGTTTCTGCGGAGTGGGTGCCGAGGGCCCTGTGACATTGCAGTACACTTCGAGCCGTGTCATCGCGCGTTTGGGAATTCGCCATTGTAGGGGCAGTGGTGATTGGGTGAGTCGCCCCGATTGGAATAGGTACCGATTAAGTAATTGAGATAGTGATTTGTTTTGTTCTCCGTCCTCTATCACCAAAACCAATAGCCGTGCAACGATGCCAATTAACCGATCCGGGAGTACTAATGAACGGCCTCCTCATTTGGGTTAATGGTATCGTGGGTCTGACTTATTGTTATATAGAACAAAGACAATTACAATGGACTTGATAATGGTGAACTTTTTATTTAATTGTGAAAGAGACTAACATCTGGAACTCACGTGGCTGAATGTGAAGGTGTCATTGTAATTGCTTGTGAATTGTAGACGGACGTATTAGTGGCGTTTTATTCTGTTTTAAACATCAAACAATGGTATTGGCTTCTGTTATAGATGTCCTGAGGACCACCAAAAATTTAATTGCATATTCTTCGTTTTTTTGCATGGGTATTCTGACGTGGTTATGGTTTTATTTTATAGGCCACAGGATTATTCATTTTCACATATTCGCTCTAATGCTTGTAAGCGTTGATTTTCTTTGCATTTGTTAATTTAACACCGATTAGCTTAATGGTTCCTGTTATAGAAAATAATGGCGGGGTGATGTTACTGTGTGTAATCCAAATGGAACAATTTGTAGGCAATTTTTCAACATTGGGATGTTTAGCTATGGGAGGAAACGGGAGTACACAAACCGCCAGTCAGGAATTGTATCGAGGCCCTTCAGTGGTTGATGGCATGACCTTTATATCAATGACACCAGAGAAATAGGGGATTAATTTGAGGGACGTATTGGCCAGATGATGCAGTATAATTTAATCTCATTTTGCTTGCCATGTGCCGTCACAAAGAGTTAAATGAGATTCTAGTACAAAATTTTGCCGGTCTAGGATAGATTAATAACCTCCATGCTGTTAACATAACACGATGTCTGGGGTATGTTATATTCCTTATTTACCCAGGAAAGCTACACCAAGTCCAAATATTATTTTACTGGAGGGTCTACTACATTGATTGCAATGTTCGGCCAATACCAGTGACATTGTGTGTTGTCTTTAGCCATGGGAAGAAACGAGAAGCTGGAGTAAACTCGTGTAGAACATGGGTACAGGATACAAAACCCACACAGCAAGGCACCCGAGCTGGGAATTAGACCCAGTTCCTTTATGCTATTAGGCGTGAGTGTTACCACTGTGCCACCCTGCCTGATGTGCAATGTGACTTGGCATCACACAAAATGAGCCACACCACATTTTATGTCTGTGGATTTATTGAATTCCACCAGAGGTCTTTCTAAGGTGTATTTGTGCGGCTTAACATTGGTAATTTCTATGACATAATGCACGTAACCCTGTCGAAGACACCGTTTAACTTCACGTGCGCACCATGCGTCATCGCTCTCATTACGTTACCCCCCCCCCCCCCCCCCGTCAAATGCTACAACCCCAATTGATCATTAAATTTCAAAGCAAAAAACACCCATGCAGTGTTACTGGCATTGGCCAAACACTCCAGCTCTGACAATACCGGCAAACTACTGAACACCACCCCCTACTGTGCAAAAACTTGGCAGGACCCTCCTGAAAAATAGTTTTGAGACTTGGTGACTTAGGCTTTCTTGGGTAAACAAGCATAGTCGTCCTCTTAATAATCACCACGTTCACGGTATAATCGCACGAGTTAACTGAAGGCAGACTGGACAACAGTCCACAAGCATTTGGTCAAGAAGAGAAGCATCTGTTTCTTAATTCTTAGTTGAGTGATTATTTTAAACACCTACTCAGCAGCTCTACGATCTCAATCCCATGAAACAATGCTTGTCACATTCTACAAATGGCCACGATGATTACGGATTGTATCTCACAATGAAGTTGGATCCGCCAGCAGCAGCAATCATTCGACTGTGGCAAGCGTGACAGTTTCTCGAGCGTTTTTAATTGAGGCAAGTTTTGCATCTCATCTGTGTCCAGGTGTGGCGCTGTGTTTGATACAAAGCCCGTGCCAAATGGCATCACCGACCGCGTGCGACTCGCTAAGACGCGTACGGAATTAAATGCAGTGAAAGTGGCGATTTCCAAAATTGCTGCACCACAGTTTGCCATTGAAGTTGCTCTGTTTTGATACGGACACTGTTTGGAATGTGCCACCATGAGGTCGAAAGGGCCTAAGAGTGGACAGTAAATGTCATTTCTTGAGATGTTTTAGCCATTACAGTTTGGTTGAGCGTCTCACCCTGTAACGTGGGAAAGGGATTTATCGATGTGGTAGCAGTGGAACCGATGTAATACGGGGCTCCACTATTAATGACTCGCTAAGATATTGGTGATGGTAAAACTATTTTTAACGGAATTATGGAATTGTACTGTAAGGGACTTTCATGTGTGCAGACGTTGCAATGTTTTACGAATGTGATGAACGCTGCTGAATTTATTCGTGTAATTGTTGTATTTGTTGCAACAGGAAATAGCACCAGGAATGCGGCCTTGTTTGTTAATTATTAATGTCTTCATTTGACTGTTAGAATTGCTTTGTGGGGTGAATATGCATGTGATTAGTGCAGCTTTAGGGCCGCATTCACAGTCACGGCTTGGATCTGACTCGGCCTCAGATGCGGCCTCGGCTCAGGCTTGAGCTGCTTCGTTGCTTCCAAAGATGCATGAGTAGCTCAGCCGTGAATTGACTCAGGCTCAGCTCATGGAAATCTTGAGCGTGGCTGGGACCATGCTCAGAGCTGGCTCCGGTTTAGCACGGTGGCTTTGAGCCGGCTCAGTTGAACCAGAGTGGACCTTGAGCTGTGACCAAGAATACAGGCCTAAGAGTGGATGGTGAATGTGATTGCTTGAGATGTTTGGCCACCTAACCTGTGTGGACCAATAATATAGTTAAATCTGTATTTCTTGTATTTCCCAAGATGTTTTTTTGTTATTTGGATTGATGTTTCTCTGAAGTATATTAATTTTGAGGAGGTTCAAGTCATGTCCTGGACCCTAAATAATGTGTTGGTGGAAAGGCAGTTTGCACTGATAGTTTGTAGCAAAACCCAAATCAATGTCCACTTCAACTGGTTTTGTCATTTTTCTGTCAAGTTTGATAAATATGCTATTCTGCCACCGTGTGCATCAACCCATGAATGCCTCGCATTATAACGGCACATTGACAAAAACCCAGTGTTGTGGCTTTGAATGCACTGTTCAGTCTGGAGAGACGATAGGGTATGGTTACAAACTCTTGGTGCTCTAAGAAGTGGGCCATGCCTTTCGTATACATGATGTGCCTGAGTCCAACCATGCATCTGCTATAGGAAGTATAAATATTGTTAGTTTATTCTGGTTGTTTTACCTAGGCAGCCTCACTAAGTGTCAATACTTTTTTTCAGAAGGGCCCTGTAGTTTTTTTTGAAGTAACGGTCAATATTGTGCCTGTGTAACCCCAATTGAGTAATTTGGAGGAATATTTGTAGCATTGGGATGTTTGGCCAGTACCAGTTACTACATTCCATGCTTTTAGCTATGGGAAGAAAGTGGAGAACCCGGAGTAAACCAATGCCAAACAGGGGGAGAACATACAAACTCCACACATTAAAGTTCCCGAGTCGGGAATCGAACCAAGGTCCCTCTTGTTGTGAGGCGAGAGTGTTACCGCTGCGCAACCCTGCCACATTAAACGTCCCAAATTTGTTGTTAAGAAAAAATAGTGAATCATTAAAATCATATGGATTGCCTGAATACATATTAGCTTAGCCTTTCTTAAGCTTTGTTAAAAACCATTTTGTTAAAAAATACATTTTTGTTGGGGTTAGTACAGGAGCCGCCCCGTGGCTCGTGAAGCGGGGTGGGCGGTGTTGCCGCTGATCCTGGAAGGGCCCAGGGCCATCCCTGGGCCACCGAGCCCACTTGCCAGTCGACGTGGAAGGGCCACATGGGTTGTAGGTGTCTGTGTGCCCAGATAATTGTAGCTTCACTTTGTGGGTGGCGGGGTGGTGCAGTGGTAACACTCATGGGTTCCAGTCCCGAATCGGGCGCCTTTCTGCCAAGTTTGTATTCTCTCCCTCTGTTCTGTGTCTTTCCTACAGATACACAATGTAATAAGTATCAGCCTAACATGCAAATGCTGAATATTTACTTCCAAATGACTCAATCGGGATTATGCCCAGCAGCAACATCGCCCCCTACTGTGTAAACTTGGCAGGACCCTCCTGAAAGTCTTGAGACTCGAGGCTTTCGTGGGTGAACAAGCATAGTCGTAATACTACTCATCGTTTTCTATTCAAACAACAAAGCATGTTATGGAATAATGTCCCTGTGGTGCCCACCAAGTAATAAGCAACATATCTGAAGCGTCCCTGCAAACTAAATGTGCATATTTGCACGTTTGTACTGGACAATTATTTTTATTTTGCATACCTACCAAAAGCTATCTCACATTTTATAAAATCACAGTCGTGGTTGCGTCGTCTTCGCAACTTTTTTCAGGTACTTTTGTCAACACGTCAACCGAGGTTGAAAGTGTTTTGTGTGTCAGCTATGTCCATTCGTACCGTGGGGACACTGACTATTGTAATAATACAACGTGAACAACCCTGTAAGAGTTTATGAAGTGGCTTCCTCTGCTATGTCCTCTGCCAGTGTCTCGAGCTTTGCTCTTGTGCAGACCACTTTGGGATGCTTTGCACTTTATCTGATTTGTTTTATTCATTAGGCCAGCTCCTCGCTGACATGTGGATTCAGGGTGAGTGACTTGCTGCGTAGCCGATGAAGAAAGATTGCCCTGAATCATCAAGATTTGCTTTTGTATAGTGCCCTCCTATACGCCGGGGCGCTTTATATAGCATCTCAGTCTAAAAGGGCACCCCCCCCCCCCCCCCCACTGTGGGCACATCTGAGGGACAATTGGAGGCCATAAATATGGCTGCAGTCGTTTAGAACACAGCTTAAAGCAGCTTCACGTCACCAAAGGCAGCAGTTTGCAGTTTCCTGAAAAACTCAGTGAGCGGCTATGCCCTGGTGCCTGTGGGGGAAAAGCAGCGGCAGCCGAACAGCCACACCATGGGCAACGCCCCTTTTGCTGATCCAGGCTGCATCATCAACCGTACAAATCTCACAACCTCCAAGGGGACATCTACATTAGCAGTGGGATGCAAAATAGGAATTCGTCAATGACAAGATGTGGCAACAAAAGCAGTTAATTTGCGGTGGAGGGGGGGCGAGGAAGTGTTTCCACCTCTGGACCACCACATTGCATCTAGAACATCATAAAAACAAATTGTGACGCGCAGAGGCCAGCGGGAAGGCAATCAGAACCGGCGCCAAAGATTGCCCAAGCTCTGTGGCCCTATATTGGGATGTTTGACCAACTCCATGAATGTTTATACGAGTGGGAGGAAACACGAGAACCTGAAGAAACACCACACGTGCAAGGGGATAACACTCAATCTCAGTACGGATGGAAATTAATACACTTGCAGTTTGACGAGTGGGCGTGCGAGATCCACCGCCCTGAGTCGTTGCACTCCCGGCCACAAGCGGCACAGCCACCGGCACCCGGGTCGTCCGTGTCCCCGCATCGAGCAGGCAGGGCGAAACGCGTGTGTCCTTATCAACGATCGCGGACAGCTACTCGGGGAAAATTTGTCAATATGATAACTCTTCCTCATAGTGAGCTCATCTCAGGACTAACAACGAATGTAATTAAAAGTATGAGTGCATGAGACGCCACGCTGTTTATACGTTTTGTAATGGTCGTGCCATGCTCTGAAATGTGACCACTGACGTTGCCGTCGCGCAATTCACACGTTTGTTGGCGTCTGTTCAGTTTGCAAGGCACACGCACATTCAAAATATCTGTAAAATAAAATTAACGATCCGGGTGCCTTTCTGTGTGGAGTCTGTTCTACATGGTTTCCTCTGGTTTCCTCCCATAGCTAAATCTTACCAAAAATGTTATTTTTTTCTGTCTGTGTGTGCGCATGCTTGCAAGGGATTGGGCTCTCAAACGGTGGGGTTTTACGTAAAAAAAATAGCCAGGTACCCAAGCCGTAAGCCCCGTGGTGAGCAAGGGCTATTTTTTTTTCCCATCCGTCAACTTTAAAGTACTTTAATTAGCGATTTTGTGCAGTTTTCATTTATTTATCAGCGCGCTATCGACCATACCAACTCGCACGCGTTCGGTGGGGGGGAAGGGCCCTACCAAGGCACACACGTTCGGTAGGGGCGAGTGGGAAATTTTCTTTAGCGTTAAACATGCTAAAAAAAATCACTAAACGCTTCACAGCGTGATGTCCCCCCTCCGACCCCATGCGTGCAGTTACTACTATACAGTTGATAGATGCTACCACTATAGGCCGTAGATATTACTGCAGAGCGGGCGGGGGGATCGCGGCTGGGGGGTGAGGGGAAGCGGCCCAGCCCCCAGCCTGCCAAGATGCCACCTCGGCCGGCTGGGCAATCTAGGAGAGACCGGGGGCTCTGCGTGGGACTAGGCCTCACCACGGCAATGTAAAGTACAGTGGTACCTCGGAGATCGAACTTCATTCGTTCCAAAACCGTGTTCGAACACCGATTTGTTTGAACACCGAATCATTTTTCCCCATAAGAATGAATGGAAATAGCATGAATTGGTTCCCCACCCAAGGATGCTCCTATTATGGGCCATTTTTACACAAAGTTTACAATATTAAAATACAGTCCAGTACATAAAAGCATACACAAACAAGAAACACAGTTATAATTAATAGAATAAATGAACATTGAACTTCACTCTTCACTTTACCTGTAGTAAGGAGAGTGGATGGCTTGAGTAGAAGGTGGTGAGGAGGAGTTGTCAATGTTGCTTGGAAGGGGAGTCCCCCTCCATAAACTAACCTTTTTAGGAGCCATTGTGTATGGATAAACACAAAAAAACACTAAAATAAATTAAATTCACTAAAAAGTTAACGGAACGATGTTTTGCAGGTCTGCACTGGGCGAGAGCTACGCGTAAACTGGGCCATTCGCCTTTGTCTCGGTCGCCCTGGCTATGCGTCTCGGCAAAAACAGGTTCTTTGCAGTTTGTTCGACCTCCGAATTTTTGTTCGATGTCTGGGGCAAAAAATGGTCGAAAATTTTGCTCGATCACCGAATTGTTCGAGTTCTGAGGCGTTCAATCTTCGAGGTTCTACCTGTACTCTTTTCTTGATTTGAAGCTTTCGTGACTGCAGAAATCCATACTCTTTGGTTTTTTCGGTAAAGTCACATAGGTTTAAAATACAAATAAAAATGATATCACAACGTTAAGATTGCAACACAGGCGGTCGTCCTCAGGCGGAAAAAATAACCCAGCAGTGGAACTGCTGAACCAGGAAGAACACAGCGAGAGAGCTGTTACAACAAGAGGTTATATATGTTGGCGAAGGGCAAGCAGGCGGAATCTGAGCTGGAAAGGAATTCCATCCCTGCACGCAAGCACGTAAGTTGTGTTAATGGGGGAGATTAGGGAGTGAGAGATTATGGAGAGAGATTAGCATGAAATGAGCTTATTTCGCCACATAAGAGTATCATCCCCGCATATGTGCACAATAGCAGTGTTAATGGGATATTAGAAATATGTTGATGGGAGAGATTAGGGGGATTAGCAAGTTAATGTCTATGTGTAACACAAGCGCATCAACGCAGGAGAACCAACGCAACAGTGGTCGTGCCAGTGAGACACACAGCCCATCATGTCCATGTGAGCATGTGCGTCGATATGCGTGTGCGTTCATGTGTGTAAGTCGATGTGTGTGTAAGTCGATATGTGTGTGAGTCGATGTGTGTGTCAGTCCATGTGTGTGTGTAAGTCGATGTGTTTGTGTATGGGTCAATGTCTGGAAGTGTAAGTCGATGTGTGTGTCTGTCTTTTTCGCCCAGGCAACGCCGGGTACTTCCCGCTCGTCTAACCTATAAATGTCATTGTATGTCTGTGTGTGCGGCCGAAACCGTGGGGTTTATGTTTAAAAAAAAAGTATCCAGGTACCACGCCATTAGCCCCGTGCTGAGCCAGCGCTATTCCGATTGTGCGTCCGTCACCTCCAAAGTAGTTTAATTAGCGATTTAGTGATGTTTTCGTGTATTTATTTATTATCTAGCGCGCGCTCGACCACACGAGCTCACACGCGTTCGGTGTGGGGGAGGGGAATTCTCTTTCGTGTGGACACTGCGCAAGGTAACACACAGATTTACAAACACCTTCAGACATTTATTACCATGACTGTTTACTCATTACAAATTGCCTTCTATAGGTTAGATTTAATGACAGGGATGAACCAATGTTTATGAAGAATATCCTTTTTCTGTACTATTGAGGCATAAGCAGCCACGCAATATCGCTTATTGCACAGGGCCAAACCAATAAATATTCTCAATTACGTCTTCATTCTATCATATTTACACCTGCCCCCTCAGTAGGGTCGGGGGGGGGGTGAGCAGTGACGTTATGTCAATTAGGCTTGATTGGTGCGCTTCTGCTCATAGTTACAGGTGGGTTCGGCTCATTTTGATTTCATGTGTCGCTCTTCCTCGCGGCAAATGTTGGCACCAAGGTGGCGGAACACCCTCACAGTCGCTCCTAATTACTTCCTTATTACTTACTAATTACTTATTATACACACGCGTGCATTTCCCCTCTCCCTTCTTTCGCTAAAGTCACATACATAGAAAACTATTATTTACAAATTTATTTAGTGTATGTAAAAGTTAGAGTCTGCGTGTGTACATCCATGCGTGTGTGTCAGTCGCTGTGTTTGTTTGTGTACGTCCATGTGTGTGTGTGCGGTGTGTTGCAGTCGATGCGTGTGTGTGTGTAAGTCCATGTGTGTGTGTTCGTCGATGTGTGCAAGTCCATATGTGTGTGCGTAGTTCCGTGTGCGTGTGAGTCTATGTATGCATGTTTAAGTCGATGTGATTGTGTTAGTCAATGTGTGTCTGGGTCCATGTGTGTCAGTCGATGTGTGTGTGTGTACATCGAAATGTGTCTTCGTGAGTCCATGTGCATTTGTAAGTCGATGTGTTTGTGTGTGGGTCTGTGTGTGTCAGTCGATGTGTGTGTACGTCGATATGTGTGAGTCCATGTGTGTGTTAGTCGATGTGTGTTTGTGTAAGTCCATATGTGTGTGTAGGTCCATGTATGTGTGTGTTTAAGTCCACGTGTATGTGTGTGAGTCGCTATGTCTGTACGTCGATATGTGCGTGTGTAAGTCCACGTGTGATTAGTCGATGTGTGTGAGTCCTTATGTTTGTGTGTGTAGTTCCATGTGTGTGAGTCTGAATGTGTGTGCGTCGATATGTGCATGTGGAAGTCGATGACTGTGTGTGTGAATCGATAAGTCAATGTGTGTGTGCGTCTATATGTGTGTGTAGGTCTATGTGAGTCGATGTGTGTGTGTGCGTCCGTGTGTGTATAAGTAGGTGTGTGTGTCAGTCGATGTGTCAGTAGATGTGTGTATCGATGTGTTTGTGTGTGCGTCAATGTGTGTACGTCCGTGTGTGCAAGTCATGTGTGTGCGTTATTCGATGTGTATGTGGAGTGGTAGTGTTGCCGTTAGCGCGCTGCGCTATGAACCGGCGACCCGGGTTCGATTCCCGCTCACGGCCAACACCAGTGACGATTATCTGAACCGGTCCCGGGCCTCCCCTAGGTCAACTCAGCCTTAAATGAGTACCTGGTGCGATGTGCAAACATCGCAACTAGGGAGACAAAGGTGGCCGGACGTGGTGTTGGCCACCCACCCCCTCGTGTGCCGTGCCGGCCTTCATAGGTGCTCGCTAACAGCACTTGCCCCATGTCTGTTAAGGCTATACCGGGGATCTTTGTTAGTCAATGTATGTGCCTGGTGCGTGTGTGGACAATTAATATTTAACAATTAAGTTAGTAATTTTTACACTAATAATGTGTCTAAGTCCATGTGTGCGCGTGAGTCGATGTGCGTGTGTACCATCGGACACTCCACCGCCACAACTCCCAATCGGTGATGGGGCAGTTGTGGAGTGGAGAGTTTCCCATACCTGGGCAGTGTGCTTATGACCGGCTCCAGTTTAACATCAGAGGTCTCACTCCAAATCAGTCGAGCGGCAATATCTTTTCATCGGTTGCGTAACGCTGTGTGGAAGCTTCCTGGTCTGTCGCTCCGCACGAAGCTTCAGGTCTTCTCGGCCACGGTCATTCCCTCCCTTATCTACGTTTGCAAAACGTGGACCCCCCTAATGGAGCATCTGCGCCGGTTAGAAACATTTAGGCTGGCCTGCCGACGATCCATCCTGGGTTTAACCAAGCTGGATTGTGTGAGGAGTTCAGAAATCCTTGAAAGATCTGGGCAAAGTCCCATTGGTGAGCTCCTCCGGCAGGCAAGGCTGCGTTGGCTGGGTCATGTAGCCCGCATGCCCTGCCACCGCATGCCTAAACAGCTTTTGTTCGGCCGGATCGAGGGGGCTAAACGGGCGCGGCATGGGCTAGAGAAGAGATGGAGTGATGTGGTACAGGAGAACGTGGACCTGAGTGGACTTTACGATGACTGGTACCAGCGGTGTAAAGATCGATCGACCTCTGTGGAGGAGGCTCGTGAAGGACGCTACTGGGCAGTTGGAGGCAGTCGCCCTCCAACGACGGAGGGCGGAGGAGCGACGCTCACAACAACGAGCGGAGCGCCGGGTGGCTAAAGCACAGCAAGTTGGCAGTCGGGGGCACAGGTGGTGCATCAGCCAGTCATCTCGGTCATCTAAGTCAGTCGACCCGTGGCACCTGGGTCTGCCCCGTGACCTGCCAGCGGGCGTTTGACACTTCACGTGGGCTCAAGGTGCACATGGCCTGGCACAAGCGTCGTGGTGACGTCACCGCCACTTAGTGGCGAATGGCGGTTGTTGGTGTTGTTGTTGTGCGTAAGTCGATGTATGTATGTATGTGCGTGAGTCCATGTGTGTGTTAGTCCAATGTGTAAGTGCATATTGTGTGTGTGTAGGTCGATGTGTGTGTGAGTCTGTGTGTGTGTGAGTCCATGTGTGTGGGGAGAGGTAGTGTAGCGGTTAGCGCGCTGCGCTACGAACCTGGGGACCTGGGTTCGATTCCCGCTCACGGCCAACACCAGTGACAATTATCTGAACCGGTACAGGGCCTCCTCTAGGTCGACTCAGCCTCAAATGAGTACGAGGTGTATAAACATCGCCACTATGGAGACAAAGGCGGCCGGGCGTGGTGTTGGCGACCCACCCCCTCGTGTGCCGTGCCGGCCTTTATAGGTGCTCGCAAACAGCGCTTGCCCCTACAGTCTATTAAGGCTAAAAGGCTATATGGGGGATCTTTGTGCGTGGGTCGATCTCTGTGTAAGTCAATGCGTGTGTCTTTTTCGCCCGGGGCAACGCCGGGTACTTCCCGCTAGTAAACTAAAGAATGTAACTGACCAAAACATCCCAATGTTGACATTACCTGCAGGTTACTCAACTGGGATCACACAACAGCAACATTGGCCCCGACTGAAAACTTGGCAGGACCCTCCTGAAATAATCATGAGACTGAGACTTTGTTTGGTAAACAAGAGAAGTAATAGCAATAATACAACTCATTCGGTATATCTTTTTTGCGGACATTTATTTTCTTTTTATATATACGTCAACAATTTATCAAGTCATTGTGAAGAAATTCAATGTCACTAAACCAGCAAGCAAATGTTATGTTAAACACATTTTAAGCTTTTTGTCTAAATGTACTTTAGTCCTAATTCCTCCTTTTAACTTATAAAACGCATCCCTGAACAGGGCACCCCTGAAAAACGTCCCCTTTGCTGCTCACAATCCCAACACTGTTGAACAACACGCACCCCTCCATCAACCTGCAGAGCAACTGACACAGCGTGGCCTCTTGAGTTGATACTTTAAATTTGTGAATGCAGAGCAGCGGAACTACTGTCAAGCCTGCCGACTCACTTGCCAACCAGTGGTTCACTACAGTTCTTTAACATATAAAATATAAAACGTGACAACTTTGTCGACAGGTTCAGTTGATGCAAACCAAATTTCATATTTCTCTGTTAAAGGTCACATGACCACTAATAATGCAAGTGGCTTGCTCAAGAGACAAAACACTCAATTGGGATGGCTGTATGCAAGATATGTTAAGACCGCAGGTGCTTGTTGAGATGCATGTGCATCTGTTGAAGTTTCTGCATGAAAAATTGCCGTGGAGCAGAGATGGAGCCTGAGAACCGGAGTTTGGGGATGCAGGTTCAGGTCACCTTCAAGACGCCTGTTTGTAGGACAGTTCTGCACTTAGCAACGTGCATGAGCTTTTCATAACCGTACTGTGGAGGTGTTTCTGGAGATGTGGGGAGTTTGGATCAGATGCTGGTGGAAAGTGGTTGGGAATAACACCGTGGGACAAGGTTTGGTTTGTGATGCTACATTTTATGAATCGACATCTGATGAAGATGTTACAATGGCCATATTATCTCAACTCTTCTTTTGAGCCGGTGGTCTGGATAAGGCTGAGAGCTTGTGTGCATTGTTAAAATGCTTGTTTTGTGCTGTCTAGAAAAGATAAGGTTTGTGTTAAATTCTCACGGTGTTCTTGAATCCTGCTGTTTCTTCTCTTTTCTTTTCAATGAGACAAAACGCTTTTTCTTGACGATTGCCTGTGTTGCGATCGAAACGTTGTGATCTATTATTTTTCTATCTACGTGACTTCACCCAAAGACCCAAAGGGTATGCTTCTTCTACTCGTCCATCGGAGCCTCACGCACCCTGAGCTAAACACTGGCTGTGAAAACCTGTGAAGTTGTAAATTCCCACTGTTCATTCCATTTGTCTCATCTTTCATCAATGTACAAGTCTCATGCATTGCAGTTAAAGAGCGAGGCGAGTTTTACACCATTTGTTTGTACACACCTCACACACGAGGGCTGCAAGCAATGACTGAATTCCCTAAAGCTCCGTTTTAGCCGACACTAAGTCATGTCGTTGCAAAATTAAAACAAAATATTTTTGCTTACACGTACAGGACAGTTAGAGACTTAGATGATACGAGTTACAAAAGCTTGTGACCAAATTGCCGAGAATGTGCCCGGCTCGTTCTCGCCGGATCTCAGAAGCTAAGGAGATATGAGCATGGATAGTTGTTGGATGGGCAACCACCATGCACAACAGATTGTTATAGGTTGTTGGGCTACAAAGATTGGCAGTAGAGGTTACTAAATGTATCTGTAATAATGCTCTTCTATGCTCACCTACCTTTACTAGCCTATTATGGCCAGCAAAGCCAAGTATGGTCATTTAACCCTCACCTGCAATACATGGCAAGGCCCTCTTCTGGCAGTGGACTGACGAAATGACAGTACGTGTACTGTACATGGGGTAAAATACCAATCGTCATGGGGCACAAGTGGCGCATACCAATGGACGAGAATTCTGTGCTAAGCAGCAATGGCTGGTAGTGTGTGATTTTCACTCTAAACTGTCGTCTTGACTGCATGCATCCAAGATGACCCATTTTATAAGTCAAAACAACACATTATCCAACTGTTTAAGTTGTAATATACAGCCACGGAAACGTCACAATCGCATCATTGACTAATATTGCTTCCTTGTATTTCAATTGGCATTCATGGAGGAGGGTGGTGCAGTGGTAACACTCGTGGCTCATGGCAAAAAGGACCTAGTTTCAATTTCTAGCTTGGCTGCTTTGCTGTGTGGACGACTTTGAATGTTCTCTGAATGTTCTCACTGAGGGTTTCCTCAAAGTTCTCCGGTTTCCTGCCATCGTTAAAACAACGTAACCATGGCAATTGTAACCGTGGCAATGCTGGAAAGTAAGTAAAAGTTACTGAATTGAGACTACACACAGCAGCAACATTGTCCCATACTGCGAAAACTGTGCAGGACCCTCCTGAAAGAGTCATGTGAGGCTTTGCTGGGCAAGCAAGTCAAATCACTGAGCCTTTGCTTCACCGAAATAGAATTCTCCAGCGGCGGTCGCATGTGAGGCCTGAGGATACGAGAGCGCTTGACGATGATGTAATTACTGCGCAGGAGAGTGAGCTCCGCATGCAGAGAACCCGAGCCGCCCCCGTGCGTGGCCATATAGCGGAGTCACACTCGAGATATATATAAAAAATGCGCAATTCAAGTAAATTAATATAGAAAAGTATAGTATTATTTGTATACATATTTTGGATTGGCACAGCTATATTACTATTGGTTAAACTTTTCAAGTGTACTTTCAATGAAAAGCAATTATACTAGAAATGTCATCCATTGCAACTTTACGCTTAACACTTGGTTACTGCATAACTCAAACACTTTATCCAGTTGACTTGAAGGCATTTATGTACATTGGGCCTGCTGCAATTACAGGGAACTATAAATGTTACTCACGTCAACAAAATGCATCACTGCAACTACAGAATTGGAAAAAAACCAAAGCACAAAAACATTCAGTTATTTTTTTAAAAATCCCATTTCCTAATGATTAACACTGCAACATTATCAATGCAGCTCAACGATACAGTAAAAAGCTCTACCCTCGTCCACTTGTGAGTTGTGAAACCAGTCGCACGCCGGTGTTGCGGAGAGCAATTGCACTTAAAAGTACGGGCGTCGAGGTTGCCATTTCCTGGCTTGCCAGAAGGCAGTACAGCAAGCGGATTCATCTTCATCTGTTTCCATCTGTACGGAACATTGTTGCCTTCCCCCCAACCCCCTTGCACACGTGGGTTTCTCCAGGTGATCCAGTTTTCTCCCACTGTACAACACTCCACTGGTTAAAAACATTTTATCGAAGACCCAAGAGGTTGAGCAACTGATGATGGCGGCTCACCACGTGGCCTTTCCACTCGTCTGTGGTTCACCTCACGCATCCAAGTCCTTCTGTCTTTTTAAGAGCGAGCGAATACTGTGCATGTAACAAGTCTAAGTTATTATATAAATGAGAAGTAACCAAAGGCAATGGGTTTCTACTTATACTTTTGAGTAGGCCTTCTTTGCAGAAGACCCAGGCGTTTAGGATTCGAGTTGAGGGGAGTAGAAGAACAAGCGGCAACTACACTCGTCAACAGGCCCACAGCATCGTGAAGCGCAAGCACAGGGCTGGGTCAGCGTGTGGCTCTCACACGCATGCCGATGTGTTTACCCACCAAGTGCCAAACTTTAGCCATCAATTCCATCTAAACGTCTGTATTTGTGGCTTTGCTGCTCAAATAAAAATTTCCCATTACACATTTTCCTCTGTGCAGCGTTATAGCCCAAAACCTAAACACAGCATAAAGTCGCATATCCGAATCTCTGGAAACCGAGGCCTTGGCAGAAATGTGAATAGATAAGACGAGTTAACGGCGGTGACGCGGCCCAGCGGCAGTGCATTTACCGCTTGTTGCACAGATTCGTAGTTCAAATCAAGCGGCAGCCCTGTTCATTACTTGGGGTGCATTAACCATAAAATGCATAACACTTGGTTCACGGTGGATGTTTAAGGATCGCTTGACGTCATTCAATACGAGGCCATCGCCGGCGCCATGTTCAAAATTTGCCAAGCTGCAAAGTACTTAATTGGGATTACACATAGAAACATCGCCCCCTACAGTGAAACTACTGCAGACTGAACTTAGCAGTGCTTTATTTAGTGATAGCTACGACTATAAGGATGGAGAGCAAAAACCAAATATACTAGATTATTAGACAAAGGTAAAGCACAAACTGCTTTAAACAATGGACGTTTATTAAAAGTTACTACACAGTTTATAATATACAAGAAACCTCCAAACAAAGTATTAAAATAAATATGAGACCTAAGGTACTCCATGAACAGTATCTGACATGGAATGGCCTCAACTCCCAACCAAGTCATCCCTGCTTCTCTTTGTCAAGGATCTCTGTGTTTGAGCCACGTTAACCCATGGCTACATGAGCACAGATATCACTGGGCCTAACTCTCCAGCCGTTGCAGATACTGCAGGCAAGGCAGATGACATTTTCCCTGAACTAGGTGTGGGGGGGCAGTTAATTGGTCAGGGCAGATACACGAGTCGGATATGCGACATTGTACTGTATGAAAATTACCTGCTACTACACAAGAAATCACAAGCGTCCATCTGCAACCGACATCTCGATGGGCTCTGACCCACGAAAACACATGAGGCTGCGCTGAAGTCTCTGCTCGCTCACCTCAATAACGTCAAGCACATTCCTCCGAGTGGTGCTGTGTGAAGCAGTGAGCCACCTGCAAAAGCCTGCAGCCCTCATCACAGCAATGGCATTGCTCCTCTCCCAGCTGTGTTCATTTCTTCAAAACTTCTGGGACAATGTTTTTCACAACTGGGACTAGCGACATGTCACTATGGCAAGAGGATAAGAGGGCGACTCGGTCGTTCCTCTGCAAAGGATTTGTAAAAGAGCAATTAGAAACCCTGCCATCAGCAATTGCAGCTGAAATTGCTGACCCCATGAATTCCCATGCTCCATTCCACTCGCTAAATATGGCAGAATGGCAGAACAGAGACAAAATATCCTGTTCGCTTTCTTTTTGTGGACCAAAATATTATCTTTAGTCTTCAAATGAACATTAAAACGCTTTTTTTTTAACTTCGCAAGTGTCCACGAGGAAGCATTTCTTATAAATGCAGGTTTTAACGTCAGCAATGAATGTCGGCTATTACATTCCAAAAAACATGTTTTATTAACGCGCACACACACTGCCCGACTGCCAGCGTGGCCAGGAACGTGCAGCAGCACTGACATCTACTTCATGTACAAAAACAGCATTTTTTTTGTAAAGCCCTCCACCACATTGTTCGCGTGTAGTTTAAAACAGCTGAGCGGCAGGCAGGGCTAGGACAGCGCGGGGTCGGGAACCTGGCTTGGGGAGGTGGTCGGAGCTGTAGCAGCAGCAGCAGTCGTACCCATCGCTGCCGTCGACGCGTTGGTCGTGGGAGACCCCGGTGCGCTGGGGGATGCCTCTTTGCCGAGCAGGAAGTAATTGCAATCAGAGGCCAGATCAAAGAGGTCAGATGGACTGAGGTCACCTTGGCCCGGTGGCCCGAGGTCTGGATCCGGGAGGATGAGAGGGGAGCTCACATACTGCACCACCTGCTTCCCTGTGCCACAGAGGAGGGAGAGCTCAGGAAGTGACTTGGTAGAGGTGACCAAGACGTTTGAACAACGCGGCGGATCCTTTCACTAGCGGCCAGACGAGCCAGAAACTGAAAATGGACGAACGAAACTTAACACGTAGATTTTCTCAGTAAACGATATGAGGAATTGTCAAGTGTACAAGCGTTTAACAACACACATCATTATTGTTTCATCACATCGGTAAGTTAAAGAACAATCCTCACAACCAAATGTATCAATTATATATGCGACGTTTTGTTTGAAACTGTGTCAAATATCATTTGGACAAGATTCAGGAAGTCAAAGTAACAATCCAGGATGCAGTACGAGGATGACACTGCAAATGGAATAAAGTGTGTGCCTTCATCCACTGTGTGACAAAGGAAGCCATCACTGCAGGTATGTGCACTGAGAGCAGCCAAAAACAGCAATCACATTGTGAGATCCAAGTATCATATAAGATGTTATAGTTTCACTTGCACCTGATTTCCAAGAGTATGGAAAAATCCTAAATGTCCATAACATATTTCTTTCCCAAGAATGACATTAATTATCTCTGTAGTTCTAAGGGCCAGATTGTCAGCTCAGCTCGGGCTCAGCCTTGCACACTCAGCTCAGCTCAAGATTGAGCTGCTTGGTTGCTTTCAAAGAAGGTAAAAGCTTCTCAGCCATGGCCTCGCTAAGGCTCAGCTCCATCCAAATCCTGAGCACGGCTCAGAGCCATGCTCAAAGCCAGCTTAAGTTGAGCAAGGCGCTGAGCCACGCTCAAAGCCGTGTAGTGGTTAGCACACTGCGCTATGAACCCAGCGAAGCCGGGTTCGATTCCCGCTCACAGCCACCGCCAGTGACGATTATCTGAACCGGTCCTCGGCCTACCCTAGGTCGACTCAGCCTCAAATGAGTACCTGGTGTGGTGTGTAACCATCGCCACTGGGGAGACAAAGGCGGCCAGGCGTGGTGCTGGCCACCCACCCCCTCGTGTGCTGTCCCGACCTTCACAGGCGCTCGCTAACAGCACTTGCCCCAACAGTCTGTTAAGGCTATAGGAGGGGTCTTTGCTTGTGCACGTGTGTGTGACTTGCTGCTGCTGGGTCCTGCGTGGTGCACACTTACTGGAGTCAGACACGTCGGGCTCCAGCATCCTCTGCTCTGGGCTGTTCAGGAGCTCCTGGGCAAGTGGCACAACCAATGTGTCAGAAACCCAGTCATCTCATAAGAAAGGTTTTTGGGTTAGATCGCGTAAATGTGTTGAAACCCTCCACCACCGGCACGGCCAATCCGTTAGGGATTTGTCACGTAAACACAACATTTATAATCTGAGTACGACGTTTCGCTGTACATCCAGCATGAATAATATTGGTCTCGAAAGCCTACGTGTTAAACTGATCCAGTCATCTGTTGCTAGCACCCTTCTCAGCACTCTGGTCATTGGATGTTGGACAATCCAATGTAACTGGGGCCGTGATGTGACCCAGTGGCAGCCGGTTCACCGATTGCTGCAGAGGTTCGTGAATTCGAATCTGACAGGCCGCCCTGGTTATTACTGTAGTGTCCATTAACCATATAATACTATGCGCCGTCTGCTTTTCAGCGGATGTTAAAGACCCTGTGATGCCATTTGCAAGGACACCATTGTGCACCAGTGTCATGGTCCAAATTAGCCAAAGTCTAAAACGTATCCACAAATCATTTAATTGAGATGAATTAGAAAGAAATTATCGCCCCCAATTGGCAGACTAATGCCCGATTGGAGGCCAGGTCCTGATTCACTTTGTGCTTACTGGGACAACTGACACTGGAGAAGCGCTTTCAAATGTGTTGAGATGGAATGTGATGTAAGTGGCTTTTTGTGACGTCCTGATGAAAGGGCGGACATTATCGTTAGACTCACCGAGGTGAGGTTGCCATAGAAATCCGGAAGCCCCAGGTCATGGTGGGAAGAACTGAAGAGCTGTCCATACAAACAGGAAGACATTAAATACTCAGTTAACCATGACTGGAATAACTGAGGAGGGTTTAGTAGTGGCCGTGATGGTGGTAGTGTGTGGAGCCTTGGTGGTTATTGCCATTTTGTGCAAGCTTTGAGCCACCCTTAATCGAGACCCAGAAAAGCAGATAATGGGTCCAGCACACATTTTAAAAGATAGATGATGAATAAATCACAGGTGTAGACCGACAGCCTTGAAGAAGGAATACAGCTTAAAGGAAGTCCGATTAGCGTGGTTGGCTATGTACAGTGTGAAAGAAGTTCAACATATTTCGTGGCTTCCAACCTGTGGCCTGTAGGCCATCGGCGGTCCGCAAGGCCACGGGGAAGCGGTCCACGCAATCGATGCAGACGCCAGTTTACCATCAATTTAATTTTGAAATAAGCTTCTGGTGCAGCTGGGTTGTCCACAAAAAACATGTGAGGCTTGACCATGACAATCCACGGGCCCAGTAACCCTGCTAACCACAGCTCTAAAAATTGGAGGCCGCTGGAGAAACACATTCCCCCCATCTTACATATAAAGAGCTCACCCATCTAATACCGTTAATGCTGACAGGATTTGAGAAGCTCGCCAGCCTTTAGAGTGAGTATATTATCATCTTTATGTTTGTTTACCCAGGAGAGTCTTACCGAATCTCATGACTTTTTTTCAGGAGGGTTCTGCCAAATTTCTGCACCAGGGGGTGATGATGCTGCTGTGTGTAATCCCAATTGAGTAATTTGCAGCAAATTTTCATTGGGATGTTTTGGCCAATTCCAGTTACATTGCATTGTATTGTTGTTTTACCTACAGGAAACCGGAGAACCCGAAGGAAACCCATAGAGAACAAGGGAAGCAGAAAGGTGCTCGAGTTGAGAATGTTGCTGGGAGGCAGGAGCGTTAGCCGCCCTGCGCCGCCACCACTGTGCCGCCCGCAGGTGGAGCAAGCCGACGATAGCGGTGTGGGTGGAGGGGGGGTGCGGGTGGAGGGGGGTGTGGGTGGAGGGGCAGTGCGGGTGGAGGGGGGTGTGGGTGGAGGGCGGTGCGGGTGGAGGGCGGTGCGGGTGGATGGCGGTGCGGGTGGAGGGCGGTGCGGGTGGAGGGGGGTGAGGGTGGAGGGCAGTGCGGGTGGAGGGCGGTGCGGGTGGAGGGGGGTGAGGGTGGAGGGCGGTGCGGGTGGAGGGGGGTGAGGGTGGAGGGCAGTGCGGGTGGAGGGCGGTGCGGTTGGAGGGGGGTGAGGGTGGAGGGCAGTGCGGGTGGAGGGCGGTGCGGGTGGAGGGGGGTGAGGGTGGAGGGCGGTGCGGGTGGATGGCGGTGCGGGTGGAGGGCGGTGCGGGTGGAGGGGGGTGAGGGTGGAGGGGGGTGCGGGTGGATGGCGGTGCAGGTGGAGGGGGGTGCGGGTGGAGGGGGGTGCGCGTGGAGGGGGGTGAGGGTGGAGGGCGGTGTGGGTGGAGGGCGGTGCGGGTGGAGGGGGGTGCGGGTGGAGGGGGGTGCGCGTGGAGGGGGGTAAGGGTGGAGGGCGGTGCGGGTGGAGGGCGGTGCGGGTGGAGGGGGGTGCGGGTGGAGGGGGGTGCGGGTGGAGGGGGGTGCGGGTGGAGGGGGGTGCGCGTGGAGGGGGGTGAGGGTGGAGGGCGGTGCGGGTGGAGGGGGGTGCGCGTGGAGGGCGGTGCGGGTGGAGGGCGGTGCGGGTGGAGGGCGGTGCGGGTGGAGGGGGGTGCGGGTGGAGGGGGGTGCGGGTGGAGGGCGGTGCGGGTGGAGGGGGGTGCGGGTGGAGGGGGGTGCGCGTGGAGGGGGGTGAGGGTGGAGGGCGGTGCGGGTGGAGGGGGGTGCGGGTGGAGGGCGGTGCGGGTGGAGGGGGGTGAGGGTGGAGGGCGGTGTGGGTGGAGGGGGGGTGAGGGTGGAGGGGGGTGTGGGTGGAGGGGGGTGTGGGTGGAGGGGGGTGAGGGTGGAGGGCGGTGTGGGTGGAGGGGGGTGTGGGTGGAGGGGGGTGAGGGTGGAGGGCGGTGTGGGTGGAGGGGGGTGAGGGTGGAGGGGGGTGAGGGTGGAGGGGGGTGCCGGTGGAGGGGGGTGCGGGTGGAGGGGGGTGCGGGTGGAGGGCGGTGCGGGTGGAGGGGGGTGAGGGTGGAGGGGGGTGAGGGTGGAGGGCGGTGCGGGTGGAGGGGGGTGAGGGTGGAGGGGGGTGAGGGTGGAGGGCGGTGCGGGTGGAGGGGGGTGAGGGTGGAGGGGGGTGTGGGTGGAGGGGGGTGCGGGTGGAGGGGGGTGCGGGTGGAGGGGGGTGAGGGTGGAGGGGGGTGCGGGTGGAGGGCGGTGCGGGTGGAGGGGGGTGAGGGTGGAGGGAGGTGAGGGTGGAGGGGGGTGAGGGTGGAGGGGGGTGTGGGTGGAGGGGGGTGAGGGTGGAGGGCGGTGCGGGTGGAGGGGGGTGAGGGTGGAGGGAGGTGAGGGTGGAGGGGGGTGAGGGTGGAGGGGGGTGTGGGTGGAGGGGGGTGAGGGTGGAGGGCGGTGCGGGTGGAGGGGGGTGAGGGTGGAGGGGGGTGTGGGTGGAGGGGGGTGAGGGTGGAGGGGGGTGAGGGTGGAGGGGGGTGAGGGTGGAGGGGGGTGTGGGTGGAGGGGGGTGTGGGTGGAGGGCGGTGAGGGTGGAGGGGGGTGTGGGTGGAGGGCGGTGCGGGTGGAGGGCGGTGAGGGTGGAGGGGGGTGTGGGTGGAGGGGGGTGAGCGTGGAGGGCGGTGAGGGTGGAGGGGGGTGTGGGTGGAGGGCGGTGCAGGTCGAGGGGGGTGAGGGTCGAGGTGGGTGAGGGTCGAGGGGGGTGTGGGTGGAGGGGGGTGAGCGTGGAGGGGGGTGAGCGTGGAGGGCGGTGAGGGTGGAGGGCGGTGCGGGTGGAGGGGGGTGAGGGTGGAGGGCGGTGAGGGTGGAGGGGGGTGTGGGTGGAGGGGGGTGAGCGTGGAGGGCGGTGAGGGTGGAGGGGGGTGTGGGTGGAGGGCGGTGCGGGTGGAGGGCGGTGCAGGTCGAGGGGGGTGAGGGTGGAGGGGGGTGAGGGTGGAGGGGGGTGTGGGTGGAGGGGGGTGAGGGTGGAGGGGGGTGAGCGTGGAGGGCGGTGCGGGTGGAGGGGGGTGAGGGTGGAGGGGGGTGAGGGTGGAGGGGGGTGAGCGTGGAGGGCGGTGCGGGTGGAGGGGGGTGCGGGTGGAGGGGGGTGCGCGTGGAGGGGGGTGCGGGTGGAGGGGGGTGCGGGGTGGAGGGCGGTGCGCGTGGAGGGGGGTGCGCGTGGAGGGGGGTGCGGGTGGAGGTGGGTGGAGGGGGGTGAGGGTGGAGGGCGGTGTGGGTGGAGGGCGGTGTGGGTGGAGGGCGGTTCGGGTGGAGGGGGGTGCGGGTGGAGGGGGGTGCGGGTGGAGGGGGGTGCGGGTGGAGGGGGGTGCGGGTGGAGGGGGGGTGCGGGTGGAGGGCGGTGCGGGTGGAGGGCGGTGCGGGTGGAGGGGGGTGCGGGTGGAGGGGGGTGGCGGGTGGAGGGGGTGCGGGTGGAGGGGGTGCGGGTGGAGGGGGGTGCGGGTGGAGGGGGGTGCGGGTGGAGGGGGGTGCGGGTGGAGGGGGGGTGCGGGTGGAGGGCGGTGCGGGTGGAGGGGGTGCGGGTGGAGGGGGGTGAGGGTGGAGGGGGGTGCGGGTGGAGGGGGGTGCGGGTGGAGGGGGGTGCGGGTGGAGGGCGGTGCGGGTGGAGGGCGGTGCGGGTGGAGGGGGGTGAGGGTGGAGGGGGGTGCGGGTGGAGGGGGGTGCGGGTGGAGGGGGGGTGGGGTGGAGGGGGGTGCGGGTGGAGGGGGGTGCGGGTGGAGGGGGGTGCGGGTGGAGGGGGGTGCGGTGGAGGGGGGTGCGGGTGGAGGGCGGTGCGGGTGGAGGGGGGTGCGGGTGGAGGGGGGTGAGGGTGGAGGGGGGTGCGGGTGGAGGGGGTGCGGGTGGAGGGGGTGCGGGTGGAGGGCGGTGCGGGTGGAGGGCGGTGCGGGTGGAGGGGGGGGGGGGGTGCGGGTGGAGGGGGGTGCGGGTGGAGGGGGGTGCGGGTGGAGGGGGGTGCGGGTGGAGGGGGGTGCGGGTGGAGGGGGGTGCGGGTGGAGGGGGGTGCGGGTGGAGGGGGGTGCGGGTGGAGGGGGGTGCGGGTGGAGGGGGGTGCGGGTGGAGGGGGGTGCGGGTGGAGGGGGGTGCGGGTGGAGGCGGGTGCGGGTGGAGGGGGGTGCGCTTGAGTTCGTACGTCGTGCAGCGTGAGCGACTCGTAGCTCAGCTGCTGGCTTGACAGCAGCGCCTGCAGGTTGTCCAGGCTCGCGTCGATCGTCTCCAGGTGGTCGGAGAACTCCCCCCTGCAGCACACGCGCGCACACCGCACGTTGTGCCCCGCGACGCCTCGCAGATCGCTCCATCGGCGCCTTATACTACTTCAGGTCTGAACCGGAGAACACCTTGGCTATGTAGCGGTGGTAATGTAGCAGAGCGGTAGCCGGTTCGCCGCTTGCCGCAGAGGTTCGCGTTTTAAAATCCGGCAGGCAGCCCTTGTTAGTACTGCGGGTGTATTCACCGTAAAATACTACTACTCGTGCCGTCTGTTTCACGGTGGATGTTAAATGATCCCGTAATATTCAAAATGAGGCGGCCACTGTATGCCGGCAACATAGTACAGCTATGCCAATTTCGAAACGTGACAGCAAATTACTCAACTGGGATTGCACAAAGCAACATCGCCCCCTACTGACAAAAACAGGCAGGGCTCTCCTGAAAAATAATTTTAAGTGAAGCTTTCCTGGGTAAACAAGCAAAATAAAATGGTGCGTATTATGCATTTAAATATATCAGACCATATCATATTGGACTCGTCACCTGCCAAAGAATACTGACAGCTGAACCAACCACTTAGCATGATCGATGCTCCAAAAAGACATATTCATAACCAGGTGAGAGCACCTTTTCAAAGGCGACCTCGGGCACAAATACAATGGCAACGTGCACAGAAGGACAACTCGCATTACAAACACAACCACTCGAAATACACAGAAATGAGAATTCAACATCATCAGCAGAGCATGGCTACACCATTACAATTGGTTCAAGCACTGCATTTTATGGCGTCAATGTCACCTCCCTTTTATTTTATTCAGGCCTCTTTTGGAAACAGGGAATTTCCTCTCCTTGTCCCTTCTCTGAATAGTTAATGTTGCGATAGCCACCGTATCCTTGAACTTAGCTTAACATTGTACTTTTCACAGCCAATATTATTCATAGATTTTTTTTGTGAGACCAAGAAATTCCCTGACCACATTACAAGCAGGCAGTATGTTTCGCTCACATATCCGTCTCTCCGCGTAAACAATGGAAGTATTTTTTGCTCAATCCATTGGCTTAACAGCCTTCTGGAATTGCATAATTTCAGCAGTATTCATTTAGTACAAGCAGACTCTGGACCGGGTTCGACACACAACTCTGTGCCACTAGGAACCCTCCACCACCCGACACAGGAACTAACGAATGTCACGTGGTGTACACGCATTGAACAACGTAACAGTTATTATGGTTTCACCTCGCCAGTTAGTTGAAGAACAATCCTCGAAATCAAATGTAGCAATTAGATACACCGGTGAGCTGACAACAACAATTGGCCAGTACACATGACAATTAATTTGTTTTCCTGTGTTGGGTGATAGAAGGCTCTTAATGCCACAGATTTGGTCAGATCATTACATGGCCCAACCCAAAAACCAACTATGAATTATTCAAGGATGTCAAAATATATTCCAAACATTACTGATAATCTGCAATTTGCTACTAAAATGCAGCTTCTAACCTCCTATGCTTGCTTTGTAATCGGGTTTATGCATGGAGTCAACACTCGCAATTCAAAATGACAGTGGCTGCATGTGATGATGCATGAATTGCTTGCAAGTTAGTAAGATGACAGACCATTCATTTGCCTCGTGAAAACAAAACTGTGATGCTCCATTCTTTAAGAAAACCACCGGCTCATGTCAGAATACTGCAGAGGGATACTGCTGTCACAGTTCGAGCATTTGCATTACTGGGCGTCTGGGAATCCATGGGTCACCGCTGCCCACATACTATACATTTAGACACACACACATACACAAGCGCGGTAGAATATTGTTGAGCACAACTGAATTCAATGATAAATTTACAACTGATATGACCGTTGCATTTTCAACACCGTGAGTTCAGAAAAAAAGTTGCAGAAGTTCCCGTGCGCTCCTTGGGGACAGCTGTAACGCATTATTATTATTGTGCTTGTTTAACCAGGAAAGCCTTCACAAGTCTCAAGACCTTTTGCAAGAGGATCCTGCCAGGTTTTTGCAGTAGGGGGAGATGTTGCTGTGTGTATTCCCAATTGAGATTTGCAGGCAATCAATTCAGCATTGGGATGTTTGACCAATACCGATTACATTGTAAGGTTTTGTTTCTTTTTAGCTATGGGAGGAAACCGGAGAACCCAGAGGAAACTCATGCAGTACAGGGGGAGAAATACAAACTCCACACAGAAAGGTGCCCGAGTCGGGAATCAAACCCAGGCTCTTCTTGCTGTGTGGTCCAAGTGTTACCACTGTCAATGTTGATGTTGACAATTTGCTGCAATTCTGAAATGGACGCAATGCCCAATTTGTTTCCACAGTTTACCAACTAAGCTCAGGCCGTGTACGAGGCAAGCGTGAGAACGGGACAGGTAGTGAACACAAGCGATGGAGACAGTGCACACAGGACTGGAGGGCATAGGGGAAGTCGGAGGCAAGGAGGGGTGTTTGCTCTGACCCTGTGTAAAAGGAGGAGGGAGAGGATTGACCAGAGGACATGACCCTACTGGCATCATGAAGCAGCTGGGCTTGCACGGCACTGAAAAGACACAATGGGGGGAAAAAACGGAAGGCGTTACTCCTACAAGACGCCGGGGCAAGTCATGGACCGGCGCACAGGCACGCACAGGGGCAGGCATTGGGGAGGGGAAGGCCTGGACTAAAGCCTCCTTTAAAATTACAAATCCATTCCCCAGACTACACCCGAGTTCTACACATTATATTTCAAAAGTGTTGTTTAATGCTTTTATCATAATTACACTTGTCGAAATTTTTCTCAAGAGGGTCCTGCCAAGTTTTTGCAGTCGGGGGATGAGGTTGCTTTCAGTTATCCAAATTGAGCAATTGCAGGTAATTTTTCAGCATTTTAAAGCTTGGCCAATACCAATGTCAGAGTGAATGTACTTATATGTACTGTACATAAACACAATTAAACACAAATATACACAATACAATTTAAAGAGTGATCGATATTTTACGTGCAAGTGTCCGTCCGTCACGTTCTCGATTTCCCAAACGCTCGCTACAAGGGAGGGAAACATGCATAAAACAAACTAATCTCTTGCCGAGGTCATTCCCGGGGAATTGTGTAAAAGGTGTGCGAATATATAAAACATTGTTGTAAATGTCCCTGCTGAAACAAGAAATGTATGGATTTATTTGTCAACGCTCATGTCTACTCACCATCCCCCCACCCCCCCTTTGCTTGGGCTCAGTTGGAATTGTCCAGATTTTAGGGTCAATACATGAGGTAGTTATGGTTGTGTTTATATTGTGGTGGTTATGGTTACATTGCAGCTGTTGTTATTATATTGTGGTGGTAGTGGTTATGTAATAATTATGGTTGTGGATATGGTTCTTATAATGGTTGTGGTTGCATTGTGCTCTGAGTTGTGGTTGTAAAATAGTTTTACGGCTGTGTTGGTAATATTTATACAAGTGGTGTTGGTGATTTTAACACATAGGCTTTCGCGACAAATATGATCCATAATACAGGTTTTTTTGGGTTAGATTGCGTAAATATAAATGTGTCGTTAAAGAAAAATGTGTCGTTAAAAATACAATGATGCACAAATCAACAGGGCACTGAATGCCAAAACCAAATCAAATAGCACAAGCGTTGAAACTGACCAAGTAATTAAAACTATTAAAATACCGTACATTGCGGGAGTAACTGATAAACGAGGCGGATTTTTGAAAAACAGATTTGGCACGGTACATAAAATACAGAAACTAATATTTGGTACTTAAGATGTATTACCGAAGTTATCAACAGAAGGTGTGTACTGGATTAATTGCCCTTGTGGTAATTGGTATGTTGGACAGGACGAATGATTAGCATGAGACTAAATGAACATATTCTTTGGGTCTTTCGGTGGAGTCACGAAGCTAGGTTAAAAGAAAATAACAAAAACTACGACGTTTCGATCTCAAAACAAGCGGTCGTCATCAGGAAAAGGGGGTTAGCTTCTAAAGGCAACTGTTTATAAAGGTTTGAAATGGGCACAGCCCAAATGTCAGCAGCATGGGCGGGGCAGCTGATGTTAATGTAAGTGGTGGGTCTTACACCAATTGAAGGGCTGCCAGGTAAAAATTAGCATGTTACTGTAAGATCGGTGAGCGGCCTCCACGGCGAGCGCGCTGAGGTGGCTATGTTAATGTGAGAGATTAGCATGTTAATGTGAGAGATTAGCATGTTCATAGAAGATCGCAGAGCCGCCGCCACCTCGAGATCGGCGCGCGACGGTGCCTGTGTGAGAAATTTAACCAGTTAACGTAAAATCAGAGAGCCGAAAATAACAACTAACATGGGAAGGTGGCAGGATGGGAACATCACAGCCAGTTATGACTTAAACTGGTTGAAAACGTCCTTCCAATGATTGCTCAGTTTGTACCCATCTTTTCGCTTGAAATTGTGTCCGTATATATGGATGGCATCATTAACTAATTTTTGTTGATAGCCAGTGGGTTTGCAAAGTACCTTCGTCTTAGAGAAATCAATTTCGTGTGAGCCCACCGCATTAAAACAATGATCAGCCACGCCCGAGGTATTGGTCCTACCATATTCTTAGGTTTTTTCGGTAAAGTCACGTAGGTAAAATATTTAAATTAATAAAAGTAAAATAATATACCTACCATGTTTCAGATCTGTCTTATGTTCACGAACGGTCTGAGACATGTCAATTAGTTTCCCCAATGTAACTACTGCCGCAGACACAGCTTAGTGTCTAGACGCCGGGGTACTGCATATCAGGGATCACATCCTTTACAGATGGGATCAGATCACGAATTTTATGTACTGTGTTAAATCGAACCTCGATCTTGTGTTTGCTCATGATTTTGGAAATCCTTTTGGTGACCCCTGCTATGTATGGCAAGGTGATGATTTTGATTGGGTCCTCAGATGGTTCTTTCTTAACGGTTGGGGTGATAGCTTTACGTATTGTGTAGTCTGAATATCCATTTATCTTGAGACCTTGGTGTACATGTTCCAGTTCACTGACTAGGTGATGATGGTCGGAAATACATCGAGCTCTATGGTGTAGAGTTGATGAGAGAATTCCTCTGGGATGGATGGTGGTGGGAATCAGGTTTTATATAGGCATCCGTATGGGTGGCTTTCCTGTAGACAGAGTGTCCCATTGAGCCTTCTGGTCTCTTTTCAATTAAAACAGCCAAGAATGGTAGCTTACCATCCTTTTCCACCTCCATGGTGAATTTGATGGCTGGGTGTATGGAATTGATGTAGTTGAGGAATTGGTTCACAGCTGGTCGGTCATGTGGCCAGATGACGAACGTGTCATCTACGTATCTCTTCCACAAGGACGGACATAGAGTGGATGCCTGGATGGCATCTGTCTCAAATTTTTCCATGAAAACATTGGCTACAACTTGTTTGTAGAATGTTCCATTCCAGGTGAAGTGTTGGTGAGGCAGTGTCTCACCAGGGCCGGTACATCAGCATTCAATCTTCAAAGATTGCAATGGTGTCAGGCACACGAACTTTGGTAAACAAAGAGACTACATCGAAACTAACGAGCAAATCACCTGGAGATAGTGAGATGTCCTTAATTAACGATACCAAGTGAGCTGAGTTAAGTAGAGCTGAGGTGGTCTTACCAGTGAATGGTTGTAAGGTCGTAAGGTCTCAGACAGAAATCGGGCCAGTTTGTAGGTGGATGAGTCAATGGGTGGTCTAGCAGCAGAGGGTTTTAAGGAAAACCGCTTGGTTGGTTCGATTAAAGATGTCGAATCGGTGATGATATTGTTGGTTTTCATAACGAGGCTGTTGGTGGGATCTCTTTTCATTTTTATATAGCTACCATCATTAAGTAGGTCCTGAATTTTGTTATTGTATGTGGTTTTGTCCATGATGACTGTGGCATTGCCCTTACTGATGTTGCTAATAGGCATCTTAGCGTTTTTAAGGAGCACCAAAGGAATATTAAATACTCCCAAATACAACTGTTGGCAGTGGCAGAACACGTGTGCCAACAAGGACACTCTATTGATTTTGATGTTGAAGTTCTGTGCAAAACTAGTTACTACTGGCCAAGACTTATTATAGAATCTATCGAAATTGAGAGATATAAAAATAATTTTAACCTTTCGGATAGCTACAAGCTTAGTGGTGCTGGAAGCGAATCATCAAGTAAATACAATGTTTAACTGCATGCCTATACAAGTCACCATATGTCGATGGTGATTATCTGTAAGCAGACAATAATAGGTACTGCTATTGTCATGCACACAAACGGCAGCATGTACAAGAACAATGTGCATGCATCACGTGCGTTGATTACCATATGAATAACCCAACCGGTAATGGCTAACTATTGTAATGTATATACATTCATTAACCCCCCCCCCCCCCCCTTTGGCCTTCGCACGCAAGGGACTCACATGTCTCGTAATCACATCTATCCCTGTATTTAAAAACAAAACAGGAGAATTTCTCCACAAATCTGGCTGTCGCCTGATGATGCTAGTTGTAATTACTGGCGAAACACCATACACAGATTGTAAGTGTTGTGGATTGACTCTCCAACACACGGGTGTGCTGTACTAGTAACGAATTGGCACGTTCTGTTTACGGGACAAACCTTACTAGTTGGCTGTCGGGTGGTATTGGTGATATTAACATTGATATTGTTTTGATATTGTTAATGATATGTCTTATTGTTATTGATATAAACAATATTCTTGTTGTTGATGTTAATGTGATTAATGTGGTTGATTCTGGTACTGTTTATGTCAAATCGTTGTTGGTGTTGATGTTGTTGATTTGTTATTTTATTTTTGTTCATGTTTTTGAGAGTAGGCCAGCAAGGACCAATGAGGAACAAACAGCAACTAATCCACATCGCTTGCATTTCACTTGAGTTATATCCTGTGCAGATGCTAGGGTATCACGAGTACAGTTATGTAGTAAGTATATGGGAGGCTTGACGACAGAATCGGAGGCACACTTGTTTATTACACCAACACAGTAATTACAGGTCACTTGGCTACAGGGATTGCACGACAGCTAACCCCTCTAACCTATGCCAATTCCTCCACTACGGGGCTAGGGGAGGCTATCTGTCCCAGCCTGGTTAAGCTGGGATCCCGGCACCCTGAGTCTCCAGACCAGCTTAGTCTGGGCTCTCGGGGCCACGCCACCGGCTTGCCCTGGTCGGCCCTTATAAGGACAGCGAGCCAGGGGAGCTCTGGGGCCTATTCTAGCAGGTCTTCCTTCTTCTCTGGTTAAAGCTGAGCCCCCGACCTCGAGCCCTCGAGCTCATCACCTTTTATAGGACTCGCCCCCGAGGGGGGGCCCGTGGGGGATGCACATGCGGACGTCGGTGCGAGCGCCACCCTTGTGTACGGCCGTAACCCCGCCCCTTGTGTTTGTTGGCCATCCGTGGCCATGCATAATCACACCCCAACATCCGTAGCCATGCACAATTACACCTCTACAGTTATATCAAGTGATAAAATCCAAGTACAGGAAAACCTTGCCGAACGTGTTTTTTTACCGAACGCCTCATCTTAGCATCG